CCCCCCGCCCAGTCCCCTGCCCCCCCCCCCGCCCCCCCACCCCCCCCCGCCCAGTCCCCTGCCCCCCCGCCCAGTCCCCTGCCCCCCCCGCCCAGTCCCCTGCCCCCCCCGCCCAGTCCCCTGCCCCCCCCGCCCAGTCCCCTGCCCCCCCCGCCCAGTCCCCTGCCCCCCCCGCCCAGTCCCCTGCCCCCCCGCCCAGTCCCCTGCCCCCCCCCGCCCAGTCCCCTGCCCCCCCCCGCCCAGTCCCCTGCCCCTCTGCCCAGTCCCCTGCCCGCCCAGTCCCCTGCCCCCGCCCAGTCCCCTTCCCCCGCCAGTCCCCTGCCCCCCCAGCCCAGTCCCCTGCCCCCCCCGCCCAGTCCCCTGCCCCCCCGCCCAGTCCCCTGCCCCCCCCACGCCCAGTCCCCTGCCCCCCCCGCCCAGTCCCCTGCCCCCCCCGCCCAGTCCCCTGCCCCCCCCGCCCAGTCCCCTGCCCCCCCCCCGCCCAGTCCCCTGCCGTCCCCTGCCCCCCCCGCCCAGTCCCCTGCCCCCCCCGCCCAGTCCCCTGCCCCCCCCGCCCAGTCCCCTGCCCCCCCCCGCCCAGTCCCCTGCCCCCCCCCGCCCAGTCCCCTGCCCCCCCCCGCCCAGTCCCCTGCCCCCCCCGCCCAGTCCCCTGCCCCCCCCCGCCCAGTCCCCTGCCCCCCCCGCCCAGTCCCCTGCCCCGCCCATTCATCGGTTGAATAACAACGACCTCCTCGCCTCGAGAGACTGCATCGCGATATTAGCAGCAGGCCGACGCACTTCATTTCTGTCATACATGCAACATTAGAAACAGGCCGCAGTCGTCGCGACTGTAGCCATGCGACCCAAGGTTATCGACTAAATAGTAAACCCACTGTCGTATGCGCCCCTTCAACGGCGGATGAACAGCAACACTACACGAACCTCCCTCCTGAAGCCCTCTCATCGTGGCTGAGACATTGACAAATCAGCTCATTCACATATTTCCATAATACGCAAGAATAAGTGCTCAATTTCAGCAGCATTGGTTCAACACAAGCAAACTCTGGAGCTGTGCTTTTTGACACTCGGTGCCTCGTACGCAGTGAGACTTGCTTAAGCCAATAATTATTTCGTGTTAGGGGGGATTTCCCCTTTGTGTAGAATGCAAATCACAGTGTGAGAACTAAGGGGACTTAAGTGAATTATTTTACACAACCGGCCACAGGCTACCTCTGCCTGACCCAACTCCGGCTGACCCCGTTTCTTTCTGTGCCGCGCATTTTAACAATATCTTAGCAAAGGCCCAATGCGTGAAGCGGCCAGACACAAGCAGCACTCTGTGAAGGTTGTAATTGATAGAGTCAACACGTGTTTTTGGCTTTGTTGCGACCTCGAGGTGAGGTCGTTGTTGAAATCGGTGTGGATGAGCCAAACAAAACGTCAGTATCTGGTTCAACGGTGATACATCCAGTCTGCTCCCTCCTGAACATCGGCGAAGGAATCCAATGGATGAAGTTCAGGGAACCATGAGATGCCGTCGCATTTAGATGCCGTATCAATCCACGCGTTATTGTATGTTTTACAGGGAGGAATAATGTTCCACACTGCCCACCAGGGATTATTTAGCTGTCTGTCTGTCTGACTGTCTGTTTGTCTGTCGTACATAATGTATAATACACACAGCTCTTTGATTGGTGGAGGCCTTACAAACAGCTCTTTGATTGGTGGAGACCTACTGCCGGGTACGGAGAGGGGGGGTGCCTAAGGGAGGAGGGTCAGGGGAGGGGCCTAAGGAAGGGGGGAGTCAGGAGAGGGGCCTGAGGGGGGGGGGTCAGGGGAGGGGCCTGAGGGGGGGTCAGCGGAGGGGCCTGAGAGAGGGGGGTCAGGGGAGGGGCTTAAGGATATGGGGGGGGGGTGCTCAGGGGAGGGGCCTAACAGAAGGGGGGTTAGGGGAGGGGCCTAAGGGAAGGGGGGTCAGGGGAGGGGCCTGAGGATATGGGGGGGGGGTGGTCAGGGGAGGGGCCTAAGGGAAAGGGGGTCAGGGGAGGGGCCTAAGGGGGGAGGGGCCTAAGGGAGGGGGGGGGGCGATAGTTCAGGGGGCTGTCTGCCTGGCTACCTAAAGTCAAGTTATCTTGTATACATACAGGTAGGAACAACAGGTTCCACACTGCCCACCAGGGATTATTTGTCTGTCTGTCGTGCACGAATGCGCTGTCCAACCAAGTTCCTACCTGCCCACTCCGAAGGAGCGTGTTATTGCGATACACGACTGAAAAAAAGTGCGATCACCAGACTGATTTGGGTCTCCAGGTGATCGCGAGACGTCCAGGACTCCACGCGAGATTGAATGACTATAAATTATTATAAAGTAGGCATGTCATGCCCAAATAAAGTTACCCTGGGCGTGTGCTTGCTCATATCAGATGTGGAAACAGGAATCGCCAGAATATAAATTTGTATCTGTGCTCAATCCCATGCTATACATTTCCAAGTGATAAGCCACTTTGTTGAGCTCGCATTTGTGGCCAGGTCGCTTCTGAAACATAAGTTTAATACCTTAGTGGGCTTTATCTGGTGATATAAAAAAGACAGTTTTGTTTGATTTGTATATTTTAAGAAAATGTTTTTACCGTTCCTATACTTTGCACTGCTATCGTGTTTTTGTATTGTTGTAACGTACAGTACTTACCTACCCCTACTGGCCATGTGGGGAAAACGCTTTATAGCTCATCGGATTCCCCCAGTATAAATATTCTGATTCTGATGCTCCAACCCATAACAGCTTGACCCCACATACTCATTCTGCCACACCACAGCGCAAATAAAATATAGCCACCATTGCAGAGTCATAGGACTCCTCAACCAGAGGTTGAGTCAGAGCTGTTATGTGGAGCATTGTATATTTACTTGAACAATTTAAAGTTTAAATATTGCAACGTTCTCCTAATTGCTGGAGACAACATTGTCGGCGTTTCTCCATCTTATCGTGGGCCTTCATCAATAAAAGTTGAGCATTCATCTGCAATGCGCATAAACCAGTGATGCTTTCCTTTCCTTATCCAAACACCCCACATTAATCCGCACGTCCTATTATATCAATGATTCTTCCTATCATTCTTAATTTTGAAGCTTTCGTGACTGCAGGAATTATTCTTTGGTTCTTTCGGTAAAGTCACGTATAAAGATAAAATAATAAATTAAATAATAGCATACGACGTTTCGATTGCAACACAAGCAATCATCATCAGGTATAAATGAAATAGCAACAAAAAATCTAACCAGAAAACTATAGACAGACATATAAGCAGACAGATATCACCAAGATACATAGAGAGAGTAACACAGGTACAGTGGGTGGCCTTAAATAGACGGAGGGGGGCGGAGGCAGAAAGAGGGAGGGGTTAGAGAAAAAATTTACATGTCAATAAGTACGAAGAGACGCGTAGTAAAGTAACGCAGGCTTGAACATTAGGAGAGAGGGAGAAAGAACACACTAAATTAAATAACCTAGCAAAATATCGAAATGTTATGTAATACAACACAGAGAGTCGGTCAACACACAATTAACGCATAGCCTGGTCGATTACGTATTTGTAAATTTTTTCTCTAACCTCTCCCTCTCTCTGCCTCCGCCCCCCTCTGTCTATTTAAGGCCACCCCACAGAGACGATCCCCCTCTCTGTAACTGTTACTCTCTCTATGTATCTTGGTGATATCTGTCTGCTTATATGTCTGTCTATAGTTTTCTGGTTAGATTTTTTGTTGCTATTTCATTTATTTCTTCCTATCATCTCTGCGGGAATAAAGTAGCGAAAAGCAGTCGACGAGAGGAGTTGAGCAGCAAACTGATCTTAAAAGCCACACGAGGGTGAGGGTGGCGTGCTGCACAATCGTGATCAGAAGCACGCGTTGTTTGTCTGCAATTAATGCGGTTAAGAGGGGTCCAGTGCGTGGGAAAGCGTGGATAATGGGGTTTGCCAACTGCACCCACTGCTGGAGTCTATAAACTGAGTTGCAGCTGTGGTGACTGTTACATTGGGGAAACGAAACGTCATGTCTCTGATCGTGTCCGCGAGCACAAGTCAGATTTGAAACACGGCAAAATTGAGTCGTCCGCCGTTGCCGATCATTGCTACAACTCGGTGGGCTCTCATGAGATTGTTTTCTCCGAGACTAAGGTGCTCTGCAAGTCTTCTGGCTACCATCAAAGGTTTGTACACGAAGCCATTCAGATATACAAACACAGACATAATTTCAACCGTGATGATGGGTACAAACTTAGTAATCATTGGAAAGATGTTATCAACCATGCAAAAAAGATTGAATTACACACTTTCGGACCATCTTATCTGACAGGCACTATTTTACTTCACCGAGTGTTAACATCCCTAACGTTTAACAGTACTCTTTATTGTCAGCCAACACTGGTATAAACATGGGCATTTCCGCTCCTTTTCTATTATGTACATCCACAGTTACTTGTGCAACACGTCCCTGACCACGAGTCCATTCATCCCACAGTGACTTGCGCACAAACAGCATAACAAAGAGCGGCTTAATCGTATCTAATTCATTTACCCACCCAGCAGTATAACAAAAGCAGTAATTGACCACTTCACAACTCCTCCTCCCCCGCTGCCCTTCCTGGCTCCTCCCCCCTTAACCACTATATAAGGTACAGATATTTTGCTGTGACGGTTTCACCTGAAGACGGAAGCTTGTGTTGCCTCCGAAACGTCGTGATTTTTATTGTTTTATTTTTATTAATTTTAATTTAATTTTTTACCTACGTGACTTTACCGAAAGAACTAAGAGTATGCACCCACTGCATCAGTGAGAATAAGCGTTCCACTGCACTGCTGACCCGCCCCTGCTGGACACCCACGAATAAAAGATCTTCATAGCTCAACGGATTCTTCCAGGAAAAACAAAGATTCCGATTCTGCATTTCCACGTCACTCACGCAACCCGGTGGTCGTCGTGGCAAAGTGAGGGTGTTCAACATGGCCGGTTTCTCCTCGCGTGTGACGACAAAGGTGGTACGAATCTTGACTTAAAGCTTTCGTGACTGCAGGAATTCATATTCCCTGGGTCTTTCGGTAAAGTCCCGTAGATAGGTTCAAAGAAAATAACAAAAAACTACGATTTTTCGAACGCTTGTATTGCGATCGAAATGTCAAATTTTTTTCTTATTTTCTTTGAAGCTATCTACGTGACTTTACCGAAAGACCCAGAAAATAAGAGGTGGTACGCTTTGCAGAGACAACTGGCTCCACAAACGCGGTTCACATTCATTTGTCGCCTTTGTTTTTCAACCGGGTGAACGACCAATGAAGAAAAACGCATTTTCAAAGGACAACTGGGATACAATCTCAAATGCAAGAGTAACAATTGTACAATAAGTGTAAAGTACTGATTCATCGTGAAATTATTAATAGATATAAACTTCAAATTTAAATTATAAGCAAATATTTCGAGGCAAATACATGTTATAAAAAAGTATGTTAAAAAATAAGCAAAAGCATTTGCTCTCTGAATTTGTAAAAAATTAATCCATCTTCTTGGTTCTTTCGGCAAAGTCACGTAGAAGGGAAATAATAAAATAATAAAAACTAAACATAATAAAATACAATTCTCACGACGTTTCGGCTACAATGCAAGCAGCCGTCCTCAGGTGAAGAATGAAACACCACCAAGCTTGGAGCGTATATTTAAGCTGGGTTGGAGGGGGAAGGAGAGCGCCTTGACAAAATAATTTCCATATCAAGAGGAATTTAGCATATTTATGGAAATGCGTAGGAGGTGGGCGGAGGGTTTCAAAGTCATATTATGCCCGTGCATTATGCAGGATTAGCAGCATCAAAGGGAGGGGATGGGGGTAGCATTAACAAAGGGAAGGAATGTTAATAGTATGTAGCTGCAGTTACTAAACCACCACGTAAAAAACTAAAGTATAAACTACATAGTATCATCATTATACTAAATATACTCTCCAATAAGCTGAGCTACTAACAGTAAGTAATACATTACAATTCTATGTCGCAAAAAATATAGTATGCTTCTAGCTAAACTTTTTTTCCTTTACATCACACGGGTCTACCCCGTACTATATACTACCATAGACAAACCCAACATTAAATTATATACTGTATTACTATACACAATCTATACCTTCGACTATAATATTACCCTAAGTATTATTCTACCCACCCTACTGTATACCACACTGCTGTATATTCACTATACAATTACGATACTGTATATTACCTTATACATTGCATTAAACATTACAATTTTATACTATTTATACAATCTGCTATACACTATACCATTGACCGTCGCGTGAAAGATACTAAGAGGAAGCAACGAAATATGTCCAGTTTATCTCTCGCCTCTACAATGACTAATGAACAAAAAGCATTGGGCTAAGTTTGCCTTGAAAGTCTTTATAAAACATGACCACCGAGCCTATCAAATTGTATAATTCTGAAAGTCTTGAAAGTGAGCCCTTGTACCTTGAGATGAAAATGTGTATGCCAAGCCTTTAAATAAATAAAATACACTTTTGGTCTCAAGGCTTTTACCTGGTCTTCAACAAAGGTCTTGTATTGAACAAACAAGACTGTTTTCCTCGTACATAAACTATACTGAATACGCAATAGCAATTACTTTTTTAAGAAAAGTGTATTGTTAGACATCACATCCACAACGACACACACATCCCACGCATTTTTGTAGCATTTGTTACATTGGTAAGAAGTCTGAGCTTATTTTTACATCTGAATGTTTCAATGTTTTAAATTGTATTTTTATCAGAACAAATTATAATTTTACTTGTATCTAAAATATTAGTAGTACTTCATAGTTGAGAGCAATAATCCCAGAATAAGCCATACTTATCAGCACATGGACATTCCTTACAACTGCTTCTCTCTCACTAAGCATCAGGATTCCTTTCATCGGCGATTACTGGAAAGGTGTACGGTTGACTCATTTCTGAAAAGAGAATATTGTACATTTTTGGTAAAGCATTTGCAGTTGGAACATTAAAACGTAACAAAAATCGACTGTTTAATTGCATACATTTTACCAGATTCGGAATCGTTGGTAGACCAACAATAGTCTGATGTGTTGCGCCCGAAACGTCGTAATTTATTTTATTTTATACCTACGTGACTTTACCGAAAGAACCAAAGAGTATGGATTCCTGCAGTCACGAAAGTTTCAAATCACAAGTCTGATTTTAAAAGAGATCAATATGTTTGATATCATGCATGGCTCATGAAGAGAATTGAAGTAAGTTTGGAGTAGAGTTCAAACTTTAAAACTTGGCTCAAATGTCAAAGTAGGTATCTCCCATCTAGAACATGTTGGAGATACTGAACATCTAGAAAACATATTTGACATTGTTTAATTAATGTATCTCTGCTTGCTATTATGCACCTAAAGACTGTATCAAGCAACACTGTCGCGGAACATTTTTTCCAGTTAAAATTCAGCTTGAGTGGAGGCCAAGGCCAATTTTTAGATAACAAATGCCAGTGTTTTATAAGTCAATGATTGGGAATCAAAATGCAGTGCACAAACCACTGTCACACACTTGAGACTGATACTCCTGCCCACCCACAATGTATCACGCTGCCCCCCCCCCCGCACCTCCATTAGCACGAATGGCTACGTATGGTGCGAAAGAAGTTCAACATACACACATACATACAGTGAGGGAAAAAAGTATTTGATCCCCTTCTGATTTTGTATGTTTGCCCACTGACAAAGAAATGATCAGTCTATAATTTTAATGGTAGGTTTATTTGAACAGTGAGAGACAGAATAACAACAACAAAATCCAGAAAAACGCATGTCAAAAATGTTATAAATTGATTTGCATTTTAATGAGGGAAATAAGTATTTGATCCCTCTGCAAAACATGACTTAGTACTTGGTGGAAAAACCCTTGTTGGCAATCACAGAGGTCAGACGTTTCTTGTAGTTGGCCACCAGGTTTGCACACATCTCAGGAGGGATTTTGTCCCACTCCTCTTTGCAGATCTTCTCCAAGTCATTAAGGTTTCGAGGCTGACGTTTGGCAACTCGAACCTTCAGCTCAGTTCACAGATTTTCTATGGGATTAAGGTCTGGAGACTGGCTAGGCCACTCTAGGACCTTAATGTGCTTCTTCTTGAGCCACTCCTTTGTTGCCTTGGCCGTGTGTTTTGGGTCATTGCCATGCTGGAATACCCATCCACAACCATTTTCAATGCCCTGGCTGAGAGAAGGAGGTTCTCACCCAAGATTTGACGGCACATGGCCCCGTCCATCGTCCCTTTGATGCGGTGAAGTTGTCCTGTCCCTCTAGCAGAAAAACACCCCCAAAGCATAATGTTTCCACCTCCATGTTTGACGGTGGGGATGGTGTTCTTGGGGTCATAGGCAGCATTCCTCCTCCTCCAAACACGGCGAGTTGAGTTGATGCCAAAGAGCTCCATTTTGGTCTCATCTGACCACAACACTTTCACCCAGTTGTCCTCTGAATCATTCAGATGTTCATTGGCAAACTTCAGACGGGCATGTATATGTGCTTTCTTGAGCAGGGGGACCTAGCGGGCGCTGCAGGATTTCAGTCCTTCACGGCGTAGTGTGTTACCAACTGTTTTCTTGGTGACTATGGTCCCAGCTGCCTTGAGATCATTGACAAGATCCTCCCGTGTAGTTCTGGGCTGATTCCTCACCGTTCTCATGATCATTGCAACTCCACGAGGTGAGATCTTGCATGGAGCCCCAGGCCGAGGGAGATTGACAGTTCTTTTGTGTTTCTTCCATTTGCGAATAATCGCACCAACTGTTGTCACCTTCTCACCAAGCTGCTTGGCGATGGTCTTGTAGCCCATTCCAGGATTGTGTAGGTCTACAATCTTGTCCCTGACATCCTTGGAGAGCTCTTTGGTCTTGGCCATGGTGGGGAGTTTGGAATCTGATTGATTGATTGCTTCTGTGAACAGGTGTCTTTTATACAGGTGTAGGACTTGAAATATGACGCGCCACGCGTTGTTGTTCTGTTGCTATGCAAGCGAGCAGTGTACAGTGGGGGGTATCTGAGGACGGGGTTGTTGTTGTCGGGCGTGAGGGAGACATCGTTAAGATGGGCGACAGGTGTTAGGAGTAACCGAGGACGCAGGCCGGTGATTGGTTAGGAGGGTGAGTAGTTAATGACCGGCGCCGCTCTGGCGGGAATAACAAGGTCACGTGAGGCTGGGGGCCTGGGGGCGAGTGGCGAAGCGGGGGGTGAGATAATTGATTGGGACTGATTGGTGTGGGGATAAAAGGATAGCGTAACGGAGAGACGGGAGTCTTGGTTGGGATTGGAGCTGGAGCGGTTGGTGCCAGGGAGAGAGATGGAGCAGGAGTGAGTAGTGAAGATACGATAAGGGTAGCAGTGGATAGAGATAGGATAGAGTACGGTAACAGTGGATAGAGATATGACAGAGTACGGTAGCAGTGGATAGAGAGAACGTAGAGAGATAGGACAGAGTACGGTAGCAGTGGAGAGAAAGAACGCAGAGTGCAGCAGCAGTGGTAGCAGTGCATCGGAGGAATACAGAGTAGGGTAGCAGCGGAGTAACGGACCTTGGGAGAGCAGGAGAGCGAACGGACGAGACATAGAGTGTCATTGATGGCGGATAGTGTAACGGAGCGAACGGGGAAACACGGAGCGGTGATGAGGAGAAGGTGTGAACTCTAAAGTGCTAATAAACGGAACGAGAAAGACAACCGGAGTACGAGTCCTACACAGGTAACAAAGTGAGATTAGGAGCACTCCCTTTAAGAGTGTGCTCCTAATCTCAGCTCGTTACCTGTATAAAAGACACATGGGAGCCAGAAATCTTTCTGATTGAGAGGAGGTCAAATACTTATTTCCCTTATTAAAATGCAAATCAATTTATAACATTTTTGACATGCGTTTCTCTGGATTTTTGTTGTTGTTATTCTGTCTCTCACTGTTCAAATAAACCTACCATTAAAATTATAGACTGATCATTTCTTTGTCAGTGGGCAAACTTACAAAATCAGCAGGGGATCAAATACTTTTTTCCCTCACTGTACACTCATAAATACATACCAAGCATGTCTCCTTTCAGCAGCTCCCACTCAATCTTCACCAGGTGATTGTAGCGCGCCACCCTCTCGCCACGGAGAACACCTCCAAGGATCAAGAAAGAGGCCCCCATGCCAAGGGCCTTCGTGCAACAAACGCCGACGCGCATCAAACGTCACTCGGTACCTCCAACTCAGGTAATCATGCTCCAGCTCCCACTTGACCACTCTCTATTAGGCTCAGCTAAGAGAGAGTGGGTCAAGCAGCTTCTGGCTGGCCATCGAACAAAGACGGCCACCGCGTCGCGCACGTTCAGATGCGCTTCTGCGGCCGTCTGGAACGCTCTTCCTTCCGATATGAGGAAGCCACTGGAGCTATGCACTTTTAAAGCTAGATTGAAAAGTAATTTCTTGAAAACTGCTTTTTGTGTTTAGTTTGTAATCTTTTCCCCGCAACTCCGGTTCGCACAGGTAGCTACATATGGTGTGAAAGAAGTTCAATATACATACATACATTACTGCTGATCCCACTGTGCCTGATTTTTAAAAAAACGTAATAAGCAATGCATACGATTGCTATCAGGAAAGGGTCATGGAGGATTCAGGCCAAGTTGAAAAGTACAACAACAAAACATTGAAGATGTGATTAATTGCAACATCAGCTGGCAGAAGTGGAAAATTCCAACAAATGCACACAGTGAGGGAATATTCTCTACATCAAATTAATTTTCAAAGGGAAAACAATGTTGAGTGCTACAGAAAGAGTAACCCTGATGTTGGAAAAATAAAAAAAATCATCGCATTACATACGTGGAATAGACCACAGCATTGACAAGAGTTACATTTTTTAAGAAATGCACCTCTCGTAACGCAGGGAGTAGTGATAAAACCCTCTGTCTGTAGTAAGGACCCGATGTAAAACACACAAACACTGAACCAATTTTATGTCCTTGGAATCCTTGTTTCTGTTAATATTCCTCCACAATCTTACCATGTCCACCAAACTACCATCTGGTGTATCTCCAGAACACGCTCCAAAAGCAACACACAACCCTTTGCCTAATACACACACACACACACAACAAAATGACATCGTTAGGTTGGATACATGAGTAAATGTTGCCAGTGGGCACCTATGAAGGCCAAAAGGGCCCAGAACAGGGTGGTCAAGTACCATGCTCAGATAATAATATTAATTTACACTTATTAAGTGTCTTTCACAAAGTCTCCAGGTGCTGTGCATGAAAAGGACAAAGGTAATAAAGAGAGAACCCTGCGGGAAAATAAGAGCCAGAAAGGACCAAAGCTGATGCGATGAAAGTTGTTTTAAAATTTTGTTTTTCGTCGAAACTTAGTGGTATTTACACTATCGGAGCCTCATCTCCCCTATTAGGGAGACCCACAACTGGGGGGCCACCAGGAAGGAGTTCCAAAACTGGGGGGCCACCACAGTAAGTGCCCGATCACTCCAAGAGCACAGCAGAGATGGAGGTATATGTAGAAGGGCACCACAAGTAGATCTTAAAGATCTTGAAGGGGCACAAGACTGAATTAGCTGCTGAATATAAAGTGGAGACAGTCCTTGTAAGGCCTCACATGGTTCTGTTATCCTTGTGTGGGTTTCGATGTCAAAACCGTTTCGGGACCTTTGACGCCTGCCATGCGGATGCGAGGTGCTATATTAGTTACAATTGATGATAATGAGTTTAACATGGATCACCAGTGATAAAGAAAGTGAGCAAAAAACGATGCCTTCTTACCTTGCAAGTATCTCGAAGCCTGCAGCAAGTCAGAGACGGTCACTTGGTTGGTGTGTTTGATAATCACACCGGTAGCCTTCAGTGTTCCTGTTATGTGTTCCAAATTGTCCAGTTCAGCCAGGCGACAGGAATTTTCATTGAAAATGAAACATTTTCCACCAACAGCTGAGCTGAGCCTACGCCACTGCTCATGGTCCTGGGAAAAGATTCCCACAGGCAAATTGGTAAAAAGGTTTACATTTAGAATGGAAAAAAATTACTTGAAAAAAATTAACATTAGTAAATTTGTGACTTGTACTTGAGACAAACCATGAACGTTTCCACAGAGCTACCACCACACCTACCGTTACTCAAGCACATTCACCGAGAAAGCGATTTAACCGCTGACTGCATCATCAGCCTCCATGTCCAGGTACTGCCTCGTTGGTTGGTAACATCTCTCCATGCCTTCATAGCGTCCCATGTTCTGTCTTACTGAGCATCTCTGCATCTATACCAATACACCTTTCAACATGACATTTTCGTGCCAGCATGCTGCAGTGTTGCTCCCTCCTCTCACTTGCATATTTACCCTTGCATAATTTTGAACTGATAATAAAAAGCCACATACCAACATGTGCAAACGAGACAGTATTCGCAAGAGTATGGGAGATGGCGACAAGGTGGGTTGGCCTTCATCATCGCCCAGTGGATAGATCACGGCTGAGGACGACAACCGTATGAGAACAGCGTTGAGTTCACACCGCTTACTGCTCACAAACGGTACCTCAGGGCACAGGGGGTCGATGAGCGCTACGACAGCTGGGTGCTGGTCCAGCAGCTGTGCGTACAGCTCCACCATGTCGGTAGTGGCTTTGAATGACCCACTGGCAACCTCATAGCGGCTCTTCTCCTGTGTAACACGACAAACACACGCGGCCATGTGCAAACAAGATCAAGACATCATCACGGCCAAAGCTGTCGATGCCACCGCACTACACCAGGGCTTTCAACCCTCCGCTAGACCCTGTGGCTGCTGCACAGTAGGCATGCAGCAGACCTCAAAGATCTGCCCTGACAATCTCCCACCATCTGGCCTTAGGTATACTATTCTCCTTGGTCACCGGACTCATGGAGACCGCGCCAATGCTTGTTTTCAGTAACCGGCCTTACCCCCTCCTGCACATGTACTCCTTAGCAGAACCTATTTTTTTCTGAATCTATCTGGTTCATATCTACCAACATCTTGACCACATGGAGGAGCCATTTCATCTTTGCCAGCAAAAGGCAGATGTGTGAGCTGTGGGAGAAATATTTGTCTTTATGCAATTATGTAGACCAAGAAAGTTAAATTATTAAAGTGAATTATCTTTTTTAAAGTTTGTATCCAGAACACATCAGGGGCTGATTCAAACCATTTAGTCAGGGCCTAATTCAACTGGGTCTACCTGGATCTGCTCACCACATCCAGTATACCTCCTGCTGTGGTTGTGGCTACTCGTCACATGCCTATGCCAGTCTACAGTGACCTGCAAAATAATAAGTGAAACATGAATCTTTGCCTGCAGAAATCAGCGGGTGAAGATCCAGACAAGCTACGCTTTGAGATTGCTGCGCTGTGTGCTGTGTGGCACTCACATAGTCCATGACTTCGTGAGCGGCACAGTTGAGGGCCAAGTGGAAGTCGACGCCTGCTGTGAGACCCAGGCTCCTTGCCACCTCCTCAACGATCTCCAGAGGCCTCTCCAGTTTGTCGCATCCAATCAGCGGGGCCCCCACAGCACCGACCACGTGCACCGTCTCATAGGGAACACAATCCCCCACACCTCCGATTAACACGGTTGGCTACGTACGGTGCGAAAGAAGTTCAAAAGCCATACATACAAACCAAGTTCATCCACCACCATTTCTTACAAGTGATGTGTAGACCGACCATGAGTGAGGATGTCTTAACAATAGTTGTATATAATACTCGTTGCATTGTACTGTACAGATGGGCAAACAGAAATACAACGCAAAGTTACGTGAAGTTACTATGGCAGAACAGGGAACAGGATATGTTTGGAACATTGATTTAGAGTGTTTTTTCTTCGGCTTTTGATTATAGCTCTAGTTTGGAGTTCCCTCGAGTTAGAATGTTTTAGGCTTATTTTCCCAAATATTATCTCTCACCTATGCAAGACTAAAGTCTTGAAAGTAACTAATTAGTAAACAGCTGCATTCCGTAATAGGCTGGTTTTTGTTCATTATTGTTGTAACCATTCCAGCTATTGAGAACTGAATTTATAGTATTCAACTTACCCCTGTTTTGGGAACCACTTCTGCGTGTTTCATGATCTGATGCTGGATTTCAGAAATAATTTTGAGACCCTGAGAAGGCAAACATCAACTTAGTTATGGATGGGCACTGTGCACCAATAAACAAACCCAAGTCAATATTTTAGCTTGATGACATCTTAAGAAAGGTCAATATATACAGAATATTGGCAGTATTCTCTTTATACCAACACCTTACCTTCGATTAGAATGCTTGGCTACGTACGGTGCATAAGAAGTTCAACATACATAAATACAAACAAGAGGGCACACAATTTTACAATGAAAGGCAGCATATAAATATCCATAAAGAAAAACAAATCCATGTAATACGCATATTGAGCTATGACTAATGAATCAGAAACAACGGCAATGACAAACGGTGCAGAGAATGGAGAGGTGCAAACTCGGAATTACACTGCGAGAAATAAAGAGTAAACACGTGATTTAGAGAGCACACACAGGTTAGAGACATCGGTTTGACTACTCTTAGTTTTTTCGGTAAAGTCACGTAGGTAAAAAATGAAATTAAAATTAATAAAAATAAAACAATAAAAATCACGACGTTTCGGAGGCAACACAAGTCTCCGTCATCAGGTGGGACCGTCACAGCCAGATTTGCTGTATCAAGTGAGGCAGGGATTCCAAGATGCAAGTTCTTAAATACAAGTTAAGGGGGAGGAGAGGGGGGGGAGCTTATCAGAATGTTGTAGCCAATGAATGGAACGTATTGGGAGGGGGGGGGCTAAAAGAGAGCACGAGGTCTAAGTAGACGTAGACGTGTTTGAGCGCAAGCCCCTTTTGGTGCACATGCTTACGTATTGGAAGGGGGGCGGGGCTAAAAGAGAGCACGAGGTGTAAGTAGACGTAGACGTGTTTGTGCGCAAGCCCCTGTTGGTGCACATGATAACGTATTGGAAGGGGGGCAGGGCTAAAAGAGAGCACGAGGTGTAAGTAGACGTAGACGTGTTTGTGCGCAAGCCCCTGTTGGTGCACATGATAACGTATTGGAAGGGGGGCGGGGCTAAAAGAGAGCACGAGGTGTAAGTAGACGTAGACGTGTTTGTGCGCAAGCCGCTGTTGGTGCACATGATAACGTATTGGAAGGGGGGCGGGGCTAAAAGAGAGCATGAGGTGTAACTGTACGTGGACCTGTTTGTGCACATGACGTTTCGTTTCCCCAATGTAACAATCACCATAGCTGCAACTCAGTTTATGGACTCCAGGGTATTGCAAGTCAGGGATGACATCCTTCACAGATGGAATTAGATCACGGATTTTATGTACTGTAATGTCTCTGATCGTGTCCGCGAGCACAAGTCATATTTGAAACACGGCAAAATTGAGTCTTCCGCCGTTGCCGATCATTGCTACAACGCGGTGGGCTCTCATGATATTGTTTTTTCCGAGACCAAGGTGCTCTGCAAACCCTCTGGCTACCATCAAAGGTTTGTATACGAAGCCATTCAGATATACAAACACAGGCATAATTTCAACCGTGATGATGGGTACAAACTTAGTAATCATTGAAAAGATGTTATTAACCATGCAAAAAAGATTTAACTACACATTTTTGGACCATCTTATCTGACAGGCACTATTTTACTTTACCGAGTGTTAACATCCCCAACGTTTAACAGTACTCTCCTTTTTCGTATTTGATTGTCAGCCAACACTGGTAAAAACAACATGGGCATTTTCGTTCTCTTCTATCATGTGCACCAACAGGTACTTGTGCACAAACAGGTCCACGTACAGTTACACCTCGTACTCTCTTTTAGCCCCGCCCTCCCCCCTTCCATTACGTTATCATGTGCACCAACAGGGGCTTGCGCACAAACACGTCCACGTCTACGTCTACTTACACCTCGTGCTCTCTTTTAGCCCCCCCCCCCCTCCCAATACGTTCCATTCATTGGCTACCACATTCTGATAAGCTCCCCCCCCCCTTCTCCTCCCCCTTAACTTGTATTTAAGAACTTGCATATTGGAATCCCCGTCTCACTTGATACAGCAAATCTGGCTGTGACGGTCCCATCTGATGACGGAGACTTGTGTTGCCTCCGAAACGTCGTGATTTTTATTATTTTATTTTTATTAATTTTAATTTCATTTTTTACCTACGTGACTTTACCGAAAAAACTAAGAGTATGAATCCTTGCAGTCATGAAAGCTTCAAATCTAGAATCAGTTTGACTGTTAATTAACAAAGGGCTTGGGCAGGACAAACCAGAAAATGGGGATGATAGCCAATGGTTGAGATTAATGATGGAGAGACTGCCAAGAGAGGGGAAAGCTCTCGGGAAGATGTTCACAGCAGAGATGGACATATGCAATCAACTCAATGGATTGTTTACATTGCGAGACGATAATATACAGGGAGGACTTGGGGAGGCCTTCATCCAGTAGTGTGTAGTGCCTTGTAAAATCACTCAGTCGGACACGTTATTACAGGTCACCTGCTTACACTGTATTACTCTATTCTTGCACCAGTTGTAGGCACTCCTGTCTCTGTCTATACGGTCACTTTTGTTAACTAACTTCCCCTATCTACTTTACACCTCGCTAACCTGCCTGCGGCAGCTCTTCCTCTCAGCAGCTCCGCATCACAGCTCAGCACACAGTGCTTGCACACAGCTGCGCTCACACAGAGCTTGCACTCAGCAGCACTCACACAGAGGCTTGCACTCAGCAGCACTCACACAGAGGCTTGCACACAGTAGCACTCACACAGAGGCTTGCACCCAGCAGCGCTCACACAGAGCTTGCACACAGCTTCACTCACTCTGCGCCGCTGCCCATGCCTACGTTCCCTCAGACCCATTCACTCGTCCGATCCGGGCGGGGGGGATCAACCATCACCCGCCCGGCGACTCGTGAGGGTTGAGGTCCATCCCTGGCTTGAGCGGCAGCGGCGAGATCTCTTCACCTTGGTCCCAGCAACCCGAACTCCCGCTCCGCTCTCACGCACCTCCTTATATCCCCCTCCCAATTGTCCAGCTCCTCCCTTGTGTCTCTTTAGGGCCAGAGAGGCTGGCGCCTGTCAGGCCATCAATCACCCCTTATAGCACGTCTCCCTGGCAACACCTCCGGTGTCAGCGTGCAAACCCGGGCCGACCCCGTCTGCACCCAATTCTCCCCTTAATGAGGTGGAGGTTTGCTCGTGCAACCTCACATTGCACACGCGCACCTGCCTGCTATCGGTTGCCCCCGGCCAACAATGCGCACCGCGTATTTTACCACACTACAAGTGGATAGAGCAGGGCTCATGAAGATGATATCCGTTTCACAAATGTGTTAGTACCTGTGAAGCTGTGAGTCCTGGTCTTGGCAGAACCATCACTTCTTTCAGAAGATTTAGCTTTCCTGGTGAGGCTTTTCCACAGCACAGCACCGTTACCATAGTGACTGGAATTTTCAATGTTTGTTGTACCTATTAAACAAGATACAACATGTGCCTATGTCATCACTGCAGTTGTGTCCACCAGGTTTGAGTCACCAAAAGCCACATTCTATGTGCAGTAGCAGCAAGAGCAGCAGCCACGTTGAGAAGGCGTTGTGCTCGCGCACAGTGACTCTCCTGTGCAGCTGCTGTTGCACCAACCCTGCCAGAAACCATAGCTGCTGAAACGAGAGCTGCCGAAAACCAGGGGACGCGGGCTATGTGGAACACCCGTGAACATATTTTGTGAGCCTAAATCACTATGTTCGCCAATGTGAGTTGGAATAAATAAATACCCACCTGACAAAAGAACTCAACCACAAGCATGCACTGTGATACCACGATCACAATTCATGACAGTGTTCATAACAATAACAATCATAAATACTATGCCAGTTAACGCTCCACTAATACTGCATGTGCAGTACGCGACACCAACAATTACTACCATCACCATGTATAATACAATATCATATTAAAATGTAACTTATATTGTACGTTAATATATAATTATAGTGTGATCATTATTTAATTGACTTACACAACGATATTATTAGAATTATGTATGAGAGATTATCCAAATATCCCCTTCATTTGGCTGTAATGGCACCCAAAGAGCCATATTTTATGACAATCACACGGCATCCTCACTCACTCACACACAGCTACAAGAGCAATGAACTCCTACTCCCATAATCACTCTTATTGCAATTTTCGTCACAGCAATACCGCAATTACAGTTTCCTTCCGATTGCAACCGTAAAATATTGCAGGAATGCAATTATATACAGATTCTGTGTTAATTGGTTGCTAATATTGTGCATGCTTACTTTTCAGTTATTTAAATCCGTTATTTTCAGTCGTTGCTTTTGTGTTAGTCCTGAGAATAATGATATCTCTATTCATCTGGATGTTTAATTGCTAATTTGCAGGGTTCAACGATTGGGAATATTTGTTTGTCGGTGGGATGGACACAAATATATTTTGCAAGAAAAAGGTCAACTTTGGATTGCTTCAATTAAACTTTCAGCTTGCATGAATTGCACCATAAATGAGTAAACATGTCTTGGTTAAGTACGAAAACCTATACAATGTATTTAAACACATTGAAGGCGTCTTCACTTACCTCTGTGTGGGAGAGGGAAGCAATGTGCTTGTAAAGTGGGCAGCTTTTAAGTCGGGCTGCGGCCTTGGCGATGGCCATAGATGTTGCCCCGATGGCCACACTTCCGGGAAGTAGTGGGGCTCGCATCTCTTTGTGAAAGAGTGGCTTTTCCAGAGCAGCGCTCTTCTTGCCTGCGCATGGCGAGTGGACACGAAAGAGAGGCACTTGGCAGGAGAAAAGCAAGCGGCAATCGGCAACAAGGCACCAAGTATTCATCGTTAACGTGTAGATATTGCAGGAGGAAATATTTGTGATGTTATCTTAATTCTTACATCGAAATATGCCTCATATCCGGCATACCAGTTTCGGTCAAAACATTGAGATTCTTTTTAAAAACGTCTTTTCCTAAATTTTATTCCAGATGTGCTACTGGTGTCATGTCATACCCAATGTGTCCACGCATACCCTGTGTGTCTGCGCGTACCCGGTGTGTCTACGCGTACCCTTGATGGGCTTTTTGTCACTGTTCACTGTCACAGCAGGTGGTTGCACCACGGGCTCCGAGAACTCTGTTCTTATCACTTCCTCCTGCTCCTGTTGTTGATGCACTTCAAACAGCTTCTCCTTTAGGAACTCCCTGCACCGTGCAGGAAATATGAGTCCATCAGCCCGTGCTCCTTCTATAAAAACTTTTCATTTTAAATTGTGTTACTTACATAAAATTAATACGTAGGTTTTCACAGCCAATATTATGATTCATCATTGTTTAATTGGGTTAGGCCACGTGGTGTTCTTACCTCCGTCACGCGACAGCCAAACAAGTGAATTGTCTTTTGCACACGTGTAAGTTGAATATCAGTTCTCACAACCAAATTTAGCCATTAGATACGACGTCTCGTTTGAAACTGCATCAAGCATCGTTGGCACAATGGTTGCCTTATTATATCCAAAAATCTACTTTTCCGCCGTCAAAGTTGATGATGACAAGGTCAATTATTTCTATTGATAAGATGCTTTGTATAATTTTATTCATCTGTAAGACTGCCAAGGGAAAGATAACATTTGAGTAGAGTACAGGTATCCCTCGATTTACAAACGGGTTGCGTTCTTCAACAAACTTGCATGAAAGAAAAGTTTGTAAATTGGAACGGCTCTTCGCTTTAATTTAATACATTCCAACTGTACTCCTAACCTAAAAACATACACCTATATCAGTTTTAACAATGCAAAAATGATAACATAAATATTAAAACGATTGAATAAGAAATACTTTAAAACAAAAATAATGAACGTTTTCAGGGAACTCCCCAAAAGTTCTACTGCATGTTTGAATGAGTGTGTCGGTGATGTGGAGCCATTACTGGTGCACTGCAGGGACACCGTGACGCTGTCGCGGATGACGACGCAGCCTCTCGGGTGCTTCTTGCTTGATCTCATGGCGCGTGGCGTGTGAAATTTCGTCAACTCGGAAATAAAATTTCATTAATCGAAAAGTGTCCATAATTTGTCAATTGCTTTCAAGCAACATATCGTAAATTGAATGTTCGTAAATTGAGGGATACCTGTATAAGGGATATCGTGGTGAGACATTATTTTATTATTCTATGTACCTCAACAAGCAGTCAAGCTCTGACTGGTTGTATGGCTGCTGACCCGTAAGCAAACCAGACAGAGAGTGGTTGATCCACTGGATGGCCAACTGGGAAGATTCTTTTTTCTTGCTGTACTCCTGATCCTTCAGCCCCAGTGCCATGGTATCTGGTGGTTCACCTTCACTGGCCATCACCAGCGAGCACACACGCTGCAACACATTACCAGGATAACTAATTTCCAGTTTAACATTTTATTTGTTTAACCATGTGAGAACTCAGGAGACCAGGAGAGTCTCAATTGCAAGAGTGACCTGGGTCAAACAAATAATTAAATGACCACAATGAAAAAAACCGACATCAAAACAAAAACAACTGTGTTGCTTGAAAAATATTAAATATAGTGCTCAAACATAACTCAATGTTAATAAACTCTCTGTAGCCCAAGTTGACTCAGGTAGATTGTTTTAGACTAATCATACTAAAATTACAAATTAAGTTACAGAACGATTAAACAGTTCTACGGTGCCTATTGTACAGACAAGCATATACTACTGTACTTAAAATATAACAGCCCGAGTGTAGCTGACTCCATGCCTGACATCTGCAGCAGTGCGTGATGACATAAACCACTCACTGCAGTGTAGGGGAGGAGTGTTTTTATTTGTGTAACCATAACTAATTAGTCAACTCTTAAATTCACACCACACAGGGTGGCCATGCGTCAGAGGGGGGGGATCCGAAGGGGTTGGTAAGCGACAGGGCGCTCAGACCGAGTCAGTGGTCCGAGTTGGCCCATAGGGTCGTCGCTGCGGCCGCAGGATCATCCGCCGTCGTAGGTTCCATTGAGGGGGTTGACGTCCGGATGTTGGTCGACAAGGGAGCGTCGGCGACCATCATCTCGGACCTCATTTACAACATCTTACCCGACAAGTGTCGTCCCCTGCGGAATGTTGATGTGCCGTGCTAATGGGTGTTCATTGGGTATAACTGGTAGGATCGACGTCCAGATCCGCATTGGCGATGTTAAATTGGAAAGGCCTGTTTTGGTTTCGTCAACCCTCGCCGTTCCATGCCTCTTGGGCACGGACTTTTTGGCAAGAATGCCCATCAAAATTCTCATCGACCAAGGGTGTATTGAGCTCCCCTCCAGCCGATGCATGGCTTTTTTGCCCTCACCCACTCGCTTGCGCACGGCGTTCGCCACAGTTCAAGCGTTGGCGTCTCGTACGGTTCGCGTTCCGGCCGAATGTCAAACGCTCGTTCCTCTCCGATTCCGAAAACCTCTTGCGTCGGATGCGCTTTCTGGAGGCGTGCTGCCAGGTCATTCTAACACGGCGGTGCGGGGGTTGGATCTTTTGGGTGCGCAGACACACCCAAAAGGTCCTCAATGCATGGTCAAGGACTACTGTTATTCCCTAAGGTACAGTGCTTGCACACACATCACCGGCCCTTGTGGGGGACTCGTTGGTGGGTCACTTAGAAGATGTGGCCCATTCCATCCCGCATTCACGCCCTGATTCCGAATGTATTGACGCGCTTTGTTCGTGGTGTATGAACTTCTTGCCATCACAGCGTCTTAAATTGCATGCGCTCTTGCGTGACTTCGCTCATGTCTTTAGCAAGGGTAAATTTGACATTGACTGCACCAAGCTACTCAGTCACCACATTGACACGGGTGATGCTGCGCCTATCCGACAGAATCCATTCCGCTTAAGCCCGGCAGAGAAAGAGCACGTACAGATTGCTGTCAATGACATGCTGGCGGCCGATATTATCTCGCCGTCCACCAGTCCGTGGGGAGCGTCCATTGTTTTGGTTAAAAAGCTTGATGGCACCCTTCGCTTCTGTGTAGATTTCCGGAAGCTCAATAAAGTCTCGGTAGCAGATTCTTATCCACTCCCCCACATGGATGAGTCGCTCGACGCCCTAGCGCGCACGCTACTTTTTGACTTTAGACCTGCTATCCGGCTTTTGGCAATTACCGCTCGATGACGCTTCTAAACCAAAGACGGCCTTCCACACTGCGCAAGGCCTCTTTGAGTTTAATCGGCTCCCCATGGGATTGCACTTGGCTCCAGCGACGTTCCAGCACCTGATGGAGCTGGTCCTCGCTGGGCTCCAGTGGGATTTCTGCCTGATTTACCTCGACGATGTCATCGTTTTCAGCCGCACCTTCGATGAGCATCTCGAATGGTTGCGAGCGGTCTTCCTCAAAATGCGAGCAGCAAATTAAAAATTTAAACCTCAAAAATGCCACCTCATGCGCGATTCCGTTCGTTATCTTGGCCACATCGTCAGTCGCTTCGGCATTGCTACAGACCCCGAAAAAACCGACTGCGTCCGCTCTTAACCCATCCCCACCTCTGTTGGGGATGTGCGCAGTTTTGTGGGCTTTGCCTCATATTATTGGTGGTTTGTCGTGGGGTGTGCGTCTATGGCTAAGCCCCTCCATGTGTTGATGGCAAAAGGGACAAAATTCCACTGGGGGGAGGCAGAACAGGCCTCGTTTGATGTCATCCGTAAGGCCCCGATTGAAGCACCTCCCTTGTGGTAACCCGACTTCTCCGTGCCATTCATTTTGGACATGGACGCCAGTAATACGGGCATAGGGAGGGTGTTGTCACAAGTGGTCAATGGTGTGGAGCGCATCGTGGCCTATGGCAGCCGTGTACTATCCCCCGCAGAGCAGCGCTATTGTGTAACCCGTCACGAACTCCTCGCCATTGTCTTCTTCGTCCAGAATTACCGGCCGTACCTGTACAGTAGACACTTTACTGTACGTTCGGACCACGCAGCGCTCCAGTATGCCTTGAAGGTCAATCAGCCATCGGGCCAATTGTCGGGCTGGCTGGAGGTCCTCCAAGACTATTCATTTACGGTTGTCTACCGGAAGGGTATTCGGCACGGTAATGCTGACGGGTTGTCACGGTTACCCCTCGTTGGGAAATGTGCTTTCTTCTTGGGTTCAGGGCGGTGTAAGCCTCCTGCCCAGGGTACGCCTCTGTCCCTCGCTGCCACAGCGGGTCCTGTCATTGACGGCCAGGAGGCGTCCAGCGCGCCCGTTGCACAAGACGCGCTGTTGGGCCTAAGTTCAGACGAATGGGGATCTTCAAATGGAAGACGTCTCCCCCCTCGGCTTATGCCGCCGTGCTAGGGAGTCACTCGAGGATGGTGGCCGGGGTGGCCCCGTTTCATTCGTCATACGGGATGGCCTCCTCATGCAGTGGGATGGCAGCTCGCGAGCGTTTAAACTTGTGGTGCCCACGTCCCTGCGGGGTAAAATTGTTTGGGCTACCCACGAGCACCTTCTTCATTTGGGCGTCCACAAAATGCTTGCTACTGTAATGCGAGCAAGAACAGGGTGCTTGCTGGCCTCCGCGCCGCTCACACGCGCCGGGTTATTGGGAGGCGGAGCGTGTGGGAGGAGCCACTGCTCACCTCGCTCCAATGGGAGTGGGGTGAACGGGGGGGGGGGGGGGGCGGAGGCGGAGGCAGGATAGAAGGTGGAGTTTGGGTCACGTGAGAGAGGGGGATATAAGGAGAGAGACGGAAGGGGAGAGAGGGAGAGAAGAGAGTGAACCACGGAGGGAGCCACGCTGGCGGTGGAGGGAGAAGTGGCGCCATTGCCACGTGGTCGGGGGTCATAGGCGCACTGCAGTCCAGCGTGCGCGGGGTGCGGCCAGGCCAGCGGAGCGTGCGGGATCGCATGGAGATAGAGAGAGCCAGCGGAGTGTGCGGGGTACCCGAAGGGCGGTGTGGCCCGGGGCGGGTGAGGAAAGAGCACACGGAGGGGCCGACGGAGACGGCGTGGCGAGAGCCACACGGAGTGTGCGCGGGGCGCACGGGGACGGAGACGGCGAGGGTTGGAGCGAGGACCAGCGGGCGCGAGGAAAGAACCCAATAAAGGACCAACGGAGAGCAACATCTTGTGAAGGAGTCCTTTATTACACCACTCTCCAACTGGAGTTTTTTTTGGCCGGGTATGGCTAGAGATGTGGCTGACCTCCTTTAAGGCTGCACTGAATGTGCTCGCCGTAAGCCACCCGCGAGGCCGTCTTGCCCACCTTTTGGGCCCATTTCTGGCTACTCCGCGAGGTAATAAGTACCTGTTGATTTGAGTAGAATATTTCACCCGATGGGCCATGGCCTGGCCTCTATCCAACCAATCGGCGGCAGCCATCACGGAGGCCTTTTTCCACGTCTACGTCTTGGATAAGGGTGCTCCCGAACTGCTGACCGATCAAGGGAAAAATTTTCATCCACCCAGTTGCGGGATGTGTGAAACTTGTTGGGCACACATAAGATTCGCACTTCGCAATATCATCCTCAAATGGATGGTATGGTTGAGCGCCTCCACCGGACGCTCACCTCTATGTTGAGCCACCAGGTATGCGAGTCACAGATTGATTGGGACCTCCACATCTCCGGCGTGCTGGCTGCATATAGGATGGCGCCCCATGCGGTGACGAGGTTTTCGCCATTCTACCTCATGTATGGCAGGGAAGTCTGCCCCCCGGTAGATGTGCAGCTGCGTATCAAACAGCCTTCGGCCAAGTCCAAGACGGCCGATCAAGTCCGTGCTAATGCTCACCACTTGGAGGCCCGGGAGGCCGCGAAATCTAACTCAGAGGCACGCCAGCTGGCTAACGAACGCCTGTGTGGCCTTCGTACGTCTCACCATGCATGGGTTGAAGGGGACCGGGCTTGGCTTCATTGCCCTCAGGTACCCCTAGCAACGTTTCCTAAGCTGCTTAAACCCTGGAAGGGCCCCGTCGAGGTTGTCCGCGTGGTCCGACCCCAGTGCGTTAAAATACTGTTCGGGAAACGCTCTTGGTATGTCCACCCCTCGCGCCTCAAACCTTTCATCCCTCCTCACACCTCTACTACACCACACATGGGCCGAGAGCGTGTTGTGTCAGGGAGGACTCCATGTGTAATGCGAGCGTAAATCGGGTTGTTGCTGGGCTCTGGCCCAATCACACGGCCCGGGGTATTGGGGGGCGAAGCCTGGTCTGCAGGGCGTGTGGGAGGGGCCACCGTTCACCTCGGCTCCAATGGGAGGCGAGGTGAATGGGGGCGGAGCCAGCAGGGTAGTATGGGAAGGCTGGATCTGACGATCCGGAAGGGGAGGAGTCAGGGTCACGTGGGGGGAATGGATATATGTGGGAGCCCGGAAGAGATCGGGGCAGTTGGGGAAGTTAAGAGGCTGAGCCACGTTGGGTGGTGAGAGAAGATCCGCGCCATCGGCTACGTGGCCGAAAGACCTCAGCACGCTATTGGCCAGCGATGTGCGGAGTGCGGGAGTGGAGGAGCTAACGGAGGAGCGTGCGTGGCACGTGAGAGGAAACGCTGGTCCCTGATCAGGACCAGCGGGGTGTGAGGAAGAGTGGAGGAGCTGACGAGGGAGCGCGTGCGGGGCACGCGCGAGACGACGCTGGTCTGCGGAGGAGACCAGCGGGGTGCGGTGAAAGAACCTAAATAAAAGACAAACGGAGACCAGCAGTGCTTGACGAAGTCTTTTATTACACATGTACATGGGGCAGGGAGGACTCCATGTACGTATGTTGTTGTCTTTCCTTGTACAGGTGGGCTGGGGTATTTATAGGGGTTCGCGCGGTTTGTTATTGCGTTCCATCGTTCATTGAGGCACACATACACAAGCGTTTTGTGGTTATCATCCAGGGTTGGCTAGGTGCTACGAAAGGGGGGGGGGGGGGTAATGGAGCGATGTCGATGGGCTGTGTACACTTACCTGCAGGGGCAGTCAGGGTCCAGCAGGGGCAGTCGTTATATCCCTAGCCCAAAAGCAGGTGGGGGCTGCGGGGTATCATGGGATCCCCCGGAGCCCCCTCTGGAACTCTCTAGAAGGTAGGCGGGGCCAGGGCTGACGCACCCGTGCTGGGTATAAAAGCCGGATCCCGGGAAGGGTCCGGGGCCAGTCCAAGACAGAAGCCAGAAGACCAGCTAGATAGGACCCTGGGACCCCTAGCCTCACTGCCCTTGTAAGGGCCGGGACTCTGTGTGGCTCAGTGGTGAGACCCTAGAACCCCTGGCCGAACGTCCTTGTGAGGGCCGGGTCCGAGTGGGCCAGTGGTCGGAACCCGCACCCTGGCTAGGTCGGGTTAGAGTAGCCTCCCCTAGGTACCCATAGCCGGAGGACCCAGAGTCGTGGTCCCGTGTTAGGGCACGTTAGCCCGGAGGCAGTACCTCCCCAGGCAGTGGTTATAGAAGGGCCGTTGCCCTGAGTGAGTCTGGGCTGTACTGCCAAGTATTTGTATTAAATAAAGTGTTGCCTCTAAGATCCGTCTCCAACGTCGCTAGAACTCACTACATATTGATACAATTCTGACCAATAAAGCTCCTCACCGGTTACTTAACACTTTTCACGACTGAATTCAACATGATGTACACATTTTGATTTAAAGCTTTCGTGACTGCAGAGATTCATATTCTGTTTTTTTCGGTAAAGTCACGTAGAAGGGAAACAATAAAATAATATATTTTCTTGCTGTGTTTTTCACACCTGATGATGATTGCTTGTGTTGCAGTCGAAACGTCGTGAGAATTTTATTGTTTTATATTTTTATCATTTTATTGTTTCCCTTCTGCGTGACTTTACCAAAAGAACCATAATATGATGTATACATTTATATATTTGAAAACTGTATGCAAATTAAAGTATCTAATGCATGTACATGTTCATGATAACGTAGCCTCAGAGCTGCTTTGTTCGCATGGTGGTCTGCCCATAAATACACTATCCAGGCCCAAAATAGGCCCATTCACACGTAGCTTCTGAAATCTTAAGTCTGGCGCATTGCCGGTGATTTGGTCAGAGACGACTCTGTGTGTGCATAATTGTGAAAACGGAGCTCTAACCTGCTCCATGTTCCTCGTGGTGCAGATGAGCTGCACTGCAATGGTGGGACAGCCCACAGTGTCCAGTGCCTGCCAGGCCTCTATCCGCTTCACTACCGCAGGCTTGCATAGCACAGAAAAGTGGTTCACCTGCAGTGCAAACATCCAGACACCGCTTCCTTTACAATTCCAATGTATGCAAGGCTTATTACAATATGCGCATCCATACATAACATTTTAGAACGTAGTTTTCAACCAATGTCTCCCGATTGTGCTCATGGCATCATGTCACAAGGCAGAGAATCCACTGGCATCTCTTGCAGAACAGCTCAACCCTTCTTGGTAGAGAACAGAATTGAAAGATAGAGAACTGTAAATATAAATGTGTCCATCTTCTTGGTTAAAATTGTCTCCGTGTTTGTATATGTGGATCGCCTCATGAACGAATCTCTCATGGTAGCCAGATGGCTTGCAGAGAACCTCTGTCTTGGAGAAGTCAATGTCATGTGAGCCCACTGAATTGTAACAGTGATCTGCCACGGCTGAGGTGTTTGTCCTACAGTAGGACAAACCCCCTGCCCCCTCCCTTTGGTGCTGCTGATCCTGCATAATGCATGGGCATAATATGACTTTGAAACCCCCCCGCCCACCTCCTACGCATTTCCCATGAATATGCTAAATTCCTCTTGATATGCACATTCTTTTGTTAAGGCGCTCTTCTTCCACCTCCAACCCAGCTTATATATAAGCTCCTAGCTTGGCAGTGTCTCATTCTTCACCTGAAGACGGCCTGCTTGCGTTGTAGCCGAAACGTCGTGAGAATTATTTTATTATGTTTTATTTTTATTATTTTATTACTTCCCTTCTACGTGACTTTACCGAAAAAACCAAGAATATAAATGTGTCGTTAAACCCACCACCTATTAGTAAGATTTGTCACGTAAACAAAACATGCCAATTAGTTACTAGTTCGGCACACCGGTGTGTTGGAGAGTAAACCCACAACATTTACAATTCGAGTATGATGTTTCGCCAGTAATTACAACCAGCCTCATCGGGTGACACCCAGATTTGTGGAGAAATCCTCCTCCTGTTTTGGTCTTAGATGGGTAAATGTGATGTCTTTACTGTGAGTCAATCACGTGCAAAGACCATATTACTACAGATAATATTGGTCGCGAAAGCCTACGTGTTAAACAGATAGAGAACTACTTCTGAAATCCCTTCAAGTGACCTCTGGTCGACACAGCATGGGGCAGTCAAGTACTGTCCCTTCCCTATTTTCAAAGCTGGAGGTGCAGAATCAATGATGGCTTACAACTGTGAGAGGAATGAATGGGTCAAAATATGCTCATACAATTTCGATTTAAAGCTTTCGTGACTGCAGGGATTCATCTTCTTCCTTCTTTCGGTAAAGTCACGTAGAAGGGAAATAATAAAATAATAAAAATAAAACATAATAAAATAATTCTCACGACGTTTCGGCCACAATGCAAGCAGCCGTCCTCAGGTGAAGAACAGGTCTGTCGGAAAGACAGTGTCTGAATGAACACCACCAGGCTTGGAAGCGTATATTTAAGCTGTGGTAGCAGTTACATTGGAGAAACCAAACGACATGTCTCGGACCGCATCCGTGAACATAAAGCAGACCTGAAACACGGTAGGACAAACACCTCAGCCGTGGCAGATCACTGTTACAATTCAGTGGGCTCACATGACATTGACTTTTCCAAGACAGAGGTTCTCTGCAAGCCATCTGGCTACCATGAGAGATTCGTTCATGAGGTGATCCACATATACAAACACAGAGACAAATTCAACCGAGAAGATGGATTCTGGCTCAGCAAACATTGGAAGGACGTAATAAACCATTTCTGATCTTAACTGATTGTGTTCACGTTTATGGTGACTTTCAGACCGCAGTCCACTCACTGGCATTGACTATATATCTTTTATTCTCCGCAGGGAATGGATTCTTTGCTCCGCTGCAAGTCTCCTCTCACCACTCTCCCATTGACATATTTCGTTGCTTCCTCTTAGTACCTTTCACGCGACGGTCAATGGTATAGTGTATAGCAGATTGTATAATAATACATAGTTTAAAAGTGTAATGTTTAATATAATGTATAAGGTAATATATAGTATCGTAATTGTATAGTGAATATACAGCAGTGTGGTATACAGTAGGGTGGGTAGAATAATACATAGTGTAATATTACAATGTATAGTCTAAGGTGGTGTATAGTAATGCAGGTGGTGTATAGTAATGCAGTATATAATTTAATGTTGGGTTTGTCTATGGCAGTATATAGTACGGGGCAGACCCGTGTGATGTAAGAGAAAAAAGTTTAGCTGGAGGCATATTATATTTTTTGCGACATAGAATTGTAATGTATGACTTAATGTTAGTAGCTCAGCTTATTGGAGAGTATATTTAGTATATTGATGATACTGATGCAGTTTATATTTTAGTTTCTTACGTGGTGGTTTAACTGCTGCAGCTCCATACTATTAACATTCCTTCCCTTTATTAATGCTAACCCTATTCCCTCCCTTTGATGCTGCTAATCCTGCATAATGCACGGGCATAATATGACTTTGAAAACCCCCCGCCCTTCTCCTACGCATTTCACAAGTAGTGACTAATCCCATATCTGCATTTTCCATAAATATGCTAAATTCCTCTTGATATGCAAATCCCTTTGTCAAGGCGCTCTTCCCCTCCAACCCAGCTTAAATATACGCTTCCAAGCCTGGTGGTGTTCATTCAGACACTGTCTTTCCGACAGACCTGTTCTTCACCTGAGGACGGCTGCTTGCGTTGTGGCTGAAACGTCGTGAGAAATATTTTATTATTTTTATTTTTTATTATTTTATTATTTCCCTTCTACGTGACTTTACCGAAAGAACCAAGAAGATGCTCATACAAGTTAGGTTTTCAGTCAAATCGCACGGTATAGTGTCAATATGGGGCAGCATTTCACAGCATATTAGAATAATATAAACCAATATAAGTGGGAGCACACCACGAAACACGCAAATACATTTAATCTAAATACCCTTAAAATTAAGCCCGAGTCTAAAATGTAGTCTCTGGTTGAATCAGTCCAGAGTTTGCTTTGTTGAACCAATTCTGCTAAACTCATACACTCCCTGAAGGCCACGTGGTTGGGTGGAATGTGTAACAATCATAAGCCTGTTTATGTAAAGGTGCAGGTATGTCGAGACGTATTACAGCTTATGACCTTTGAAACAAGCAATGAGTGAGGGCTGTTGCATGCGTGCTATGGCGAGTGGGTACCAGCTGCCCATAGATGTCTTCAGGCTGCTGGTGAAAGAGGCTATTGAGGGCCTCTTCCAAGTTCTGTGGGACCCCGTGGGCACGGTAGAACTCCACTGCCGCTTGCTTCAGCTTGTACATTTGCCGGGCGTCATCGGATAGCGAGCGCTCCATCACAGCTTCAGCCAAACCTGCCAAGGTGGATCATTCACAGTTGTTCAACTACGCCTTCTTCTTCTTAACATTTCTCTCATTGCAGGGTCGGCAACCAAAACAACAAAAAGAGCAATTTTTTTCGAACTCGGTAAAAAAAACTATATTTCAAGAGCCACCATACATGTGAATACGAAACGGTGGCCCTGAATAAAGAACGTCACGAAACAGTCCTTTAATGAGCTCCATGGTGAACTGGACTTCCATGGCGAACTGGACTTCCATGGTGAACTGGACTTCCATGGTGAGGGGTCGGCAACCAAAATAAGAGGCATTTTTGTCGAATTTCAAGAGCCGCACTCTGCAGTCCTTAAAGAGCTGCATGCTGCTCCGGAGCCGCAATTTGCCGACCCGTGCTCTAGAGCGTGCTATATTATCGTGCATTGTATCATAAAAGTAACGATAATATATATACGTACTGAATTCATGTAGAATTCTTCTCAAGCTAAGACGGGTTGAGCCTGCATAGTGCATGTATGGGAGACCACTCTACACAACAGGTTGCTATGGTTTGCGAGGCTACATGGTGACCAGCAGAGGGATGTGCAGATACTGTAATTATAGCACTATACATTATTTCCACGTCTACACTTTCCGCCTTCACCAACCCGCACTGACCAGTGTAGAGAAGTATAGCAAATTCACCCCCCGCGACTCGCACGGAGTGGGGAGGTGCGCAATCAGCAGCCGACCGATAAAGAGGGCTGCAATGTTCACATAATGAATGCACGTTGTATAGTCTGTAGGTAATAATATATACAGTATATATACAGCGCCGCATGTCATAAACAGCTTCGGCAATGTAAACAGCTGCTGGTGTAATGGATTTGCAGGTGTAATGGATTTGCAGGTGCAATCTCGAGAGGTCGCCGGTTCGATTGCATCTCCCGGCGCGGCAACTGGATCGTATTCACTGTACAAAATAAAGAAGCAGTCTCCTTCACATAATCTCAATTTAAACTGGAGGAATCCGATAACCGACACAGCTCTTTTTTCCACAGATGTCTAGTTAGGGAGGGGTCAGCAGGTTACATCAGCAATACAGATACAACTATTTATATTTCACGAGGTAAGGCCCACAGAGCTGTATATTTTTCAGAAGCGACCTGGCCACAAATGATAGCTCAACGATGTGGCTTATCATGTGGAACTGTATACGAGTCAAACACTCTAAATGCAAGTGTCTAAATGTGGAGGGAACCCCCAGAGGACCGAATAAAAGTCCGCGCAATCGCGGGGAGAGAGACACGCAAACTCCAAATATACAGCCGCAGGCGTCAGGGTCGGGATCGAACCCATGTCCCCCTGGATACCAGGCGATGGAGTTAACATCTCCTCGCCACCGCGGCGCCCGACATGTCCCTCAAACAACTCTGCCACGAATTTTTTTATTATATTATATTATTTTATTATGTTTTATTTTTATTATTTTATTATTTCCAATCTACGTGACTTTACCGAAAGAACCAAGAAGATGAAACTCTGCCACGACCCGTGCGCCTGCCGGCACAAGCACGAGGAGGCCGTGGGCCGGTTTAAGGCTTTCAGCGGCCCGGCAGCAGCCAGAGGCGACGCTCGAAATCAAATGCCCGCGAACTGCCGAGCTTACAGGCTCGGAGTCTTGTCGCCGATGTAATAACTCTAACCAATGATCTGCGTCGTTGTGGAGAATGAATGTAGTCGACAAAAGCGGCATTAATGAAGCAGCAGACCGCGCGGTGTCGAGGGAGAAAGTGGCCGCCACTCCGCTTCCGGCGTCTCGCGGTTGCCACGCAACGGCGCGCGCCCACGTGACACGCCCATGGCAACGGCCGCTATTCGCCACCGACGCTTCCCGTGACGTGAAGATGCGATGCGTTGTCAACAACAACAAATGCGAACAAAATCGGACGGCCGACGAAAGTCACCGATCAGCGAATGCCTCTGCACGATGGGTGATTCGGTCGCAGATCCGGGGAGGACGAGGGGGGATTATTTTGTTTTACAGCGCCTCGCAAGTGTCGCCCAACGCGCACTGCGCATGCGCGCGCCGTCGTGGAGTGACGTCACGCGATGGCGGCTCCCACTGGCGAGCAACGTGGAGCGGGGCCAGAGTGGGGGGCCGGAGATGTGGGGGGTGAGGGGGGCACGGGGGGTGTGGGGAGCACGGGGGGTGTGGGGGGCACGGAGGACCCGGTGGGCAAGTGTGGCACGGGGGATGCAGGGGAGCCGGGTCTGAGGCTCCGCACCGCGGCGTTGGGAGTCTCAGGGCCCCAGGCGTCAACGCAGGGCAAGATCCGCCGCCTCAGAGACTCGCTTCGCAGGTAACGCGGGGGGTGGCAGCGCGCCTCCAACACCTCAAGTGACCACAATGTGTACCTAGCCTGGCACAAGCAAGCGCTGTGTTGTAACGTCACTGAACAAGTGAGAGAGGCTACGGTGCTCGACCTTGCACCGTCTCTGCGGATTCACGGAGGCAGTGTTGACCCAACTGCGAAATTCCATACAATAGAGTGAAGTCTGCAATGTAGTGTACATTGCAGTGTTGACGAAGACAAATATCCCTCGTGTAGTCGTTACAGGCTTTTGGGGCAAGTGCTGTTAGCGAGCAGCACCTATGAAGGCCGTCACAGCGGCACACGAGGAGGTGGGTGAACAGCACCACGCCCGGCCGCCTTTGTCTCCTTGGTCGCGATGTTTTACACACCGCACCAGGTACTCATTTGAGACTGAGTCGACCTAAGGGCGGTCCAGTTCAGATAATCATCACTGGTGTTGGCCGTGAGCGCGAACTCGGGTTGCCGGGTTTGTAGCGCCACCGCTCTCCATTGCAATATTGACAACCTCCGTGCGAATTACCATAAACACGCAGCGCACCTCCTTGGACAGTCATTTCCCCGCACGTTCGATTACCATCGCTAGCTACTTAGGGTGCGAAAGAAGTTCAAGATATATACATACACACCTGTGCCACATCAATCCATCTTTTCTCTAGCCCGTACCATGCCCGTTTAGCCCCATCCGTCCGGCCGAACATAAGTTGGTTGGGCATGCGGGGGCTGGGGATGCGGGCTACATGACCCAGCCATCGCAGCTTCATTTGCCGGAGCTCACTGATGGGACTGTGTCCAGATTCTTCAAGGACCTGTGAAATCACACAACCCAGTCTGGTTAAACCCAAGATGGATCGTAGGCAAGCTCGCCTGAATATTTCAACCTGGTGCAGATTTTCCTTAAGAAGGCTCCACGTTTTGCAAGCATAGAGAAGGGAGGGCATAACTGTGGCTGAGAAGATAAAGCTTCGTCCAAATTATGGACCAAATTGTAAACAACTGTTGTCTGTGCTCCATCAACGGAGGATGAACAGCAAAACTACACCAACTCTGCTAAAGCCCTCTCGTGGCTGCTATCAGACCTCGAGATTGGCATTTAGCTCCTGAACATATTGCCATCATATGCAAAAATAACTTCATTGACCTGCTGTTTCCCGGTCGGAGGTTTATTCTTTATTTCTGGTAGCGATTACGGCTCCTTCCAAATGCTGGCATACTCAAGTCCAGATCCTAGAGGTTTCAGTACTTGTTGAGTTTAATATTATAACACGATTTATAATGCGCACATATTTTGCGTGTCGGACGCAATATTCAATCGAGAACTGAGAGGTGCGGAGCGATGGCTGTCAAGTCCCTCGTACGTGAGAGCCTGAAGAGGTTAAAGCCTGAAGAGGTGAGAGTCTGAAGGGGTGAGAGTCTGAAGGGGTGAGAGTCTGAAGGGGTGAGAGTCTAGAGGGGTGAGAGTCTGGAGGGGTGAGAGTCTGAAGGGGTGAGAGTCTGAAGGGGTGAGAGTCTGAAGAGGTGAGAGTCTGAAGGGGTGAGAGTCTGAAGAGGTGAGAGTCTGAAGGGGTGAGAGTCTGAAGGGTGAGAGTCTGAAGGGGTGAGAGTCTGAAGGGGTGAGAGTCTGAAGGGGTGAGAGTCTGAAGAGGTGAGAGTCTGAAGGGGTGAGAGTCTGAAGAGGTGAGAGTCTGAAGGGGTGAGCGTCTGGAGGGGTGAGAGTCTGAAGGGGTGAGGGTCTGAAGGGTGAGAGTCTGAAGGGGTGAGAGTCTGGAGGGGTGAGAGTCTGAAGGGGTGAGAGTCTGAAGAGGTGAGAGTCTGAAGGGGTGAGAGTCTGAAGGGGGTGAGAGTCTGAAGGGGGTGAGAGTCTGAAGGGGCGAGAGTCTGGAGGGGTGAGAGTCTGAAGGGGGGTGAGAGTCTGAAGGGGTGAGAGTCTGAATGGGTGAGAGTCTGAAGGGGCGAGCGTCTGGAGGGGTGAGAGTCTGAAGGGGGGTGAGGGTCTGAAGGGTGAGAGTCTGAAGGGGTGAGGGTCTGAAGGGGTGAGAGTCTGGAGGGGTGAGAGTCTGAAGAGGTGAGAGTCTGAAGGGGTGAGAGTCTGAAGGGGGTGAGAGTCTGAAGGGGTGAGAGTCTGAAGGGGTGAGAGTCTGAAGAGGTGAGAGTCTGAAGGGTTGAGAGTCTGAAGAGGTGAGTGTCTGAAGAGGTGAGAGTCTGAAGGGTTGAGAGTCTGAAGGGGTGAGAGTCTGAAGGGGTGTGAGTCTGAGGGGTGAGAGTCTGAAGGGGTGAGAGTCTGAAGGGGTGAGAGTCTGAAGAGGTGAGAGTCTGAAGAGGTGAGAGTCTGAAGGGGTGAGAGTCTGAAGGGGTGAGAGTCTGAAGGGGGGAGAGTCTGAAGGGGTGAGAGTCTGAAGGGGGGTGAGAGTCTGAAGGGTGAGAGTCTGAAGGGGTGAGGGTCTGAAGGGGTGAGAGTCTGGAGGGGTGAGAGTCTGAAGGGGTGAGAGTCTGAATGGGTGAGAGTCTGAAGGGGTGAGAGTCTGAAGGGTGAGAGTCTGAAGGGTGAGAGTCTGAAGGGGTGAGAGTCTGGAGGGGGTGAGAGTCTGAAGGGGCGAGAGTCTGAAGGGGTGAGAGTCTGAAGGGTGAGAGTCTGAAGGGGTGAGAGTCTGGAGGGGTGAGAGTCTGAAGGGGTGAGAGTCTGAAGAGGTGAGAGTCTGAAGGGGTGAGAGTCTGAAGAGGTGAGAGTCTGAAAGGGGTGAGAGTCTGAAGGGGGTGAGAGTCTGAAGGGGCGAGAGTCTGGAGGGGTGAGAGTCTGAAGGGGGGTGAGAGTCTGGAGGGGTGAGAGTCTGAAGGGGGGTGAGAGTCTGAAGGGGTGAGAGTCTGGAGGGGTGAGAGTCTGAAGAGGTGAGAGTCTGAAGGGTGAGAGTCTGAAGGGGTGAGAGTCTGAAGGGGGTGAGAGTCTGAAGGGGGTGAGAGTCTGAAGGGTTGAGAGTCTGAAGAGGTGAGTGTCTGAAGAGGTGAGAGTCTGAAGGGTTGAGAGTCTGAAGGGGTGTGAGTCTGAAGGGGTGTGAGTCTGAGGGGTGAGAGTCTGAAGGGGTGAGAGTCTGAAGGGGTGAGAGTCTGAAGGGGGTGAGAGTCTGAAGGGGGTGAGGGTCTGAAGGGGCGAGAGTCTGGAGGGGTGAGAGTCTGAAGGGGGGTGAGAGTCTGAAGGGGTGAGAGTCTGAATGGGTGAGAGTCTGAAGGGGCGAGCGTCTGGAGGGGTGAGAGGCTGAAGGGGGGTGAGGGTCTGAAGGGTGAGAGTCTGAAGGGGTGAGGGTCTGAAGGGGTGAGAGTCTGGAGGGGTGAGAGTCTGAAGAGGTGAGAGTCTGAAGGGGTGAGAGTCTGAAGGGGGTGAGAGTCTGAAGGGGTGAGAGTCTGAAGGGGTGAGAGTCTGAAGGGTTGAGAGTCTGAAGAGGTGAGTGTCTGAAGAGGTGAGAGTCTGAAGGGTTGAGAGTCTGAAGGGGTGAGAGTCTGAAGGGGTGTGAGTCTGAGGGGTGAGAGTCTGAAGGGGTGAGAGTCTGAAGGGGTGAGAGTCTGAAGAGGTGAGAGTCTGAAGAGGTGAGAGTCTGAAGGGGTGAGAGTCTGAAGGGGTGAGAGTCTGAAGGGGTGAGAGTCTGAAGGGGTGAGAGTCTGAAGGTTGAGAGTCTGAAGGGGGGAGAGTCTGAAGGGGTGAGAGTCTGAAGGGGGGTGAGAGTCTGAAGGGTGAGAGTCTGAAGGGGTGAGGGTCTGAAGGGGTGAGAGTCTGGAGGGGTGAGAGTCTGAAGGGGGGTGAGAGTCTGAAGGGGTGAGAGTCTGGAGGGGTGAAAGTCTGAAGGGGCGAGCGTCTGGAGGGGTGAGAGTCTGAAGGGGGGTGAGGGTCTGAAGGGTGAGAGTCTGAAGGGGTGAGGGTCTGAAGGGGTGAGAGTCTGGAGGGGTGAGAGTCTGAAGAGGTGAGAGTCTGAAGGGGTGAGAGTCTGAAGGGGTGAGTGTCTGAAGAGGTGAGAGTCTGAAGGGTTGAGAGTCTGAAGAGGTGAGTGTCTGAAGAGGTGAGAGTCTGAAGGGTTGAGAGTCTGAAGGGGTGAGAGTCTGAAGGGGTGTGAGTCTGAGGGGTGAGAATCTGAAGGGGTGAGAGTCTGAAGGGGTGAGAGTCTGAAGGGGGTGAGAGTCTGAAGGGGGTGAGAGTCTGAAGGGGCGAGAGTCTGGAGGGGTGAGAGTCTGAAGGGGGGTGAGAGTCTGAAGGGGTGAGAGTCTGAATGGGTGAGAGTCTGAAGGGGCGAGCGTCTGGAGGGGTGAGAGTCTGAAGGGGGGTGAGGGTCTGAAGGGTGAGAGTCTGAAGGGGTGAGGGTCTGAAGGGGTGAGAGTCTGGAGGGGTGAGAGTCTGAAGAGGTGAGAGTCTGAAGGGGTGAGAGTCTGAAGGGGGTGAGAGTCTGAAGGGGTGAGAGTCTGAAGGGGTGAGAGTCTGAAGAGGTGAGAGTCTGAAGGGTTGAGAGTCTGAAGAGGTGAGTGTCTGAAGAGGTGAGAGTCTGAAGGGTTGAGAGTCTGAAGGGGTGAGGGTCTGAAGGGGTGTGAGTCTGAGGGGTGAGAGTTTGAAGGGGTGAGAGTCTGAAGGGGTGAGAGTCTGAAGAGGTGAGAGTCTGAAGAGGTGAGAGTCTGAAGGGGTGAGAGTCTGAAGGGGTGAGAGTCTGAAGGGGTGAGAGTCTGAAGGGTGAGAGTCTGAAGGGGGGAGAGTCTGAAGGGGTGAGAGTCTGAAGGGGGGTGAGAGTCTGAAGGGTGAGAGTCTGAAGGGGTGAGGGTCTGAAGGGGTGATAGTCTGGAGGGGTGAGAGTCTGAAGGGGTGAGAGTCTGAATGGGTGAGAGTCTGGAGGGGTGAGAGTCTGAAGGGGTGAGAGTCTGAAGGTTGAGAGTCTGAAGGGGGGAGAGTCTGAAGGGGTGAGAGTCTGAAGGGGGGTGAGAGTCTGAAGGGTGAGAGTCTGAAGGGGTGAGGGTCTGAAGGGGTGAGAGTCTGGAGGGGTGAGAGTCTGAAGGGGGGTGAGAGTCTGAAGGGGTGAGAGTCTGGAGGGGTGAAAGTCTGAAGGGGCGAGCGTCTGGAGGGGTGAGAGTCTGAAGGGGGGTGAGGGTCTGAAGGGTGAGAGTCTGAAGGGGTGAGGGTCTGAAGGGGTGAGAGTCTGGAGGGGTGAGAGTCTGAAGAGGTGAGAGTCTGAAGGGGTGAGAGTCTGAAGGGGTGAGTGTCTGAAGAGGTGAGAGTCTGACGGGTTGAGAGTCTGAAGAGGTGAGTGTCTGAAGAGGTGAGAGTCTGAAGGGTTGAGAGTCTGAAGGGGTGAGAGTCTGAAGGGGTGTGAGTCTGAGGGGTGAGAATCTGAAGGGGTGAGAGTCTGAAGGGATGAGAGTCTGAAGGGGGTGAGAGTCTGAAGGGGGTGAGAGTCTGAAGGGGCGAGAGTCTGGAGGGGTGAGAGTCTGAAGGGGGGTGAGAGTCTGAAGGGGTGAGAGTCTGAATGGGTGAGAGTCTGAAGGGGCGAGCGTCTGGAGGGGTGAGAGTCTGAAGGGGGGTGAGGGTCTGAAGGGTGAGAGTCTGAAGGGGTGAGGGTCTGAAGGGGTGAGAGTCTGGAGGGGTGAGAGTCTGAAGAGGTGAGAGTCTGAAGGGGTGAGAGTCTGAAGGGGGTGAGAGTCTGAAGGGGTGAGAGTCTGAAGGGGTGAGAGTCTGAAGAGGTGAGAGTCTGAAGGGTTGAGAGTCTGAAGAGGTGAGTGTCTGAAGAGGTGAGAGTCTGAAGGGTTGAGAGTCTGAAGGGGTGAGAGTCTGAAGGGGTGTGAGTCTGAGGGGTGAGAGTTTGAAGGGGTGAGAGTCTGAAGGGGTGAGAGTCTGAAGAGGTGAGAGTCTGAAGGGGTGAGAGTCTGAAGGGGTGAGAGTCTGAAGGGGTGAGAGTCTGAAGGGTGAGAGTCTGAAGGGGGGAGAGTCTGAAGGGGTGAGAGTCTGAAGGGGGTGAGAGTCTGAAGGGTGAGAGTCTGAAGGGGTGAGGGTCTGAAGGGGTGAGAGTCTGGAGGGGTGAGAGTCTGAAGGGGTGAGAGTCTGAATGGGTGAGAGTCTGGAGGGGTGAAAGTCTGAAGAGGTGAGAGTCTGAAGGGGTGAGAGTCTGAAGGGTGAGAGTCTGAAGGGTGAGAGTCTGAAGGGGTGAGAGTCTGGAGGGGGTGAGAGTCTGAAGGGGCGAGAGTCTGGAGGGGTGAGAGTCTGAAGAGGTGAGAGTCTTGAAGGGGTGAGAGTCTGAAGGGGTGAGAGTCTGAAGGGTGAGAGTCTGAAGGGGTGAGAGTCTGGAGGGGTGAGAGTCTGAAGGGGTGAGAGTCTGAAGAGGTGAGAGTCTGAAGGGGTGAGAGTCTGAAGAGGTGAGAGTCTGAAGGGGGTGAGAGTCTGAAGGGGGTGAGAGTCTGAAGGGGCGAGAGTCTGGAGGGGTGAGAGTCTGAAGGGGGGTGAGAGTCTGAAGGGGTGAGAGTCTGAATGGGTGAGAGTCTGAAGGGGCGAGCGTCTGGAGGGGTGAGAGTCTGAAGGGGGGTGAGGGTCTGAAGGGTGAGAGTCTGAAGGGGTGAGGGTCTGAAGGGGTGAGAGTCTGGAGGGGTGAGAGTCTGAAGAGGTGAGAGTCTGAAGGGGTGAGATCTGAAGGGGTAAGAGTCTGAAGGGGGTTAGAGTCTGAAGGGGTGAGAGTCTGAAGGGGTGAGAGTCTGAAGGGGTGAGAGTCTAAAGGGGTGAGGGTCTGAAGGGGTGAAAGTCTGAATGGGTGATTGTCTGAAGAGGTGAGTGTCTGAAGAGGTGAGAGTCTGAACGGTTGAGAGTCTGAAGGGGTATGAGTCTGAGGGGTGAGAGTCTGAAGGGGTGAGAGTCTGAAGGGGTGAGAGTCTGAAGAGGTGAGAGTCTGAAGGGGTGAGAGTCTGAAGGGGTGAGAGTCTGAAGGGGTGAGAGTCTGAAGAGGTGACAGTCTGAAGGGGGGAGAGTCTGAAGGGGTGAGAGTCTGAAGGGTGAGAGTCTGGGTGGGTGAGAGTCTGGAGGGGTGAGAGTCTGAAGGGGTGAGGGTCTGAAGGGTGAGAGTCTGAAGGGGTGAGAGTCTGAAGGGTTGAGAGTCTGAAGGGGTGAGAGTCTGGAGGGGTGAGAGTCTGAACAGGCGAGAGCCTTGAGTTGCTACTTGAAGTTGAATGGTACTGTGAGGCTGCGTATGTTCAGTCGGAGAGTTCCAAATGATCGGTGTGGCCACGGAGAAAAAGTTTCTCAGCCAGGACAGTCCTGTTTCAGGTTACAATCAGCAGATTATTGGACGTATGCCACAGGACACCGCAGTGGTCTGTAGTGGTTGGTAGAGTGAGAAGTGTGGAGAGGCATGGGTGGAGACCTTGATAGAGAGCTCGGTGGCACAGGGTCATGACTTTACACTGTGTGCTAAATTTGATGGGACGTAATGTTAAGAGTTGGTGCGTAATTTACACGTGACCTTGTTTGTCATGCTTCATCCATCTTACCAGGGACAACTGGAAGGAGAATGAGAGCGCGAAGTGCGAGTTCGTGAGGCTCTTGCTGCAGGTGGCGAGGCCACACGTGGGGGCGGCGCTCGTGAGGGAGGCGCTGCTGCCCCCCGCGCTGCTCTTCTCCGATGACTTCGAGCTGGAGAACCAGCTGCTGGGCGTGCGCTGCCTTCACCACGTCGTTCTGAATACGGTGAGCATCCCCAACCGTGAGGAAACAAAACCGCTTGAGGAATGGTGGACGGTTTCGCCACCGCACCGGTTTAAGCCGGGCGCTGGTGGCTACGCACGCGGCCTGAAATCTAGGACTGTGGAGGCGAGGAGTTTTTGACGTTCTAATATTTGCCATATTAAGTCAGCAATGTTACACATCACCTGGGTAATTCCGCGCGATCATCGGTTGAATGTACAGGGATTGCCCGAACAAAAAAAACATTAATGATGCAACAAAACACTCGTCAATGAGGCTATATAAACATTGCTTACCTAAGATATGGGTGAACGCATCGGATGTCCTCTGTTTTTATGGTACCTTACAGTACGCAGTCACTTGAGTCAGAGGTAATAATAGAAGCAGCACGCAAAAGGTCTGAAGGTCTGAATGAGCGTGGTATAGCAGACTCTTTTTTTCCCAAACAGTTTATCCGCAACCTGCATAATCAGATTTGATTTCTATCGTGAAAAATTCTGAATATTTTGTTTTCAGATACTTTACAATGAAGTAAAATGAAAAATAACATATAGCAAGTTATAAACTATAAAACTATAAACTATATTTATTTTACCGCGTAAGGCTCACTGAACTATATAGCTGTTTTTCAGAAGTGACCTGGCTACAAATGATAGCTCCGAAGTGGCTTATCGTGTGGCAATTTATTGCAGCCAAATTCTCTAAACGCGTGTTTCTAAATGTGGGGAAAAACCAGAGAACCCGGAGAAAAATCCACGCGACCATGGGGAGAACATGCAAACTACAAATATACAGCAGGCGTCAGGGTCAGGATCGAACCCACGTATACCAGTTGAGGTAGTTAATATCTCGCCACCGTGTGCAGAGAATCACGGTTCGAATCCAGTATGCCGCCCTGATTAATAGTGTAATAATCATACATTCTGATTAATTCTGTTTAATAACCATACTTTCTTACGCCATATGTTTCACAGTAAATACTATGGTCCACATTTAGAGAAATGACCTGCAAGCTACTAAACTGGGATTGCAGTTATCGCAGGTGAATGACCACTTTCAAGCCAGTGCTGATTCACGTGCCGCACAGAGACATCCGCCACTGGTTGAGATGGGATGTGATGCTTTGAGATGTCAAAGCATATAAATACCATATTGATGCAAAAATTCAGATTACAGTATAATTATTATTCACATTTCTTCCTATTAATGTGGATGGTGAGTAACCCTTTCCAATTACAGACAAGGGTAGCAGGTCTAGTAGTGTTTTACTTCAGAGCACCTCTGATTGATTGGTCCAGATTCCCAAATGCTATCGATTTTTTCAGAAGACATCATTTAAGAGGGTTTTTTCCAGAATGAGAAGTCCTCTAATTAATCCGCTGTACCGCTGTACAGGAAGTTTAGAAAATTGCCGATAAATAAATTGCTATACGTTTTCGCTGCTCATAAAATCATGTGATGTTAAGAATTAAATGTTTAAATTGTGGATGATTCAGTTCATTTTATGAATATTTATCATTTTTACCATCATTCAATTTGTTGTTGTAATTATTCACGTGTGACTAACATTCTGTTTTTGCTTAAGTAGCCGGCAGCAGAATTGAGATGCCACAATCAAGCCCAGGTGATCTACCATGCGCTGTACCGTCACCTCTACTCCAGGGAACACGAGCTTGTGCAGGTACAGGACTCGGTGGATGGTGACACAATTATTACTTCAGCTTCTTTCATCGGGAGATGCTACTCATTTTTTGTTGAAACGTACTCTTTCAATCTACCATATCATCCTATTGTCCACAAACTCTCAGAGAATTGCAGGCAGAAGGTGATTGAGCATGCAGATATTACAAACACGGTGTTTCCAGATTGAAAATTATTCCCCTCCGGTCATCCTCGAAGCAGCGGCTTTTGGCTAACCATCGAACAACGACAATCACTGTATCGCATGCTTTCAGATGCGCTTCTGCGGCTGTCTGGAACGCTCTTGCTTCTAATATTAGGAAGCCACTGGAGCTATGCACTTTTAAATCTTATTAAATTTCTTTAGAACTTCTTTTTTGTGTTTAGCGTGTTGTCCTTACCCTACACCTCGGATAAGCACGATTGGATATGTATGGTGTGAAAGAAGTTCAACATACACATACGTGATCAGTGCAGCTAAAATTCTGGCAGTGTGTATTGTATGCTACGTTTTTACACCCCCCTCCGTGCATACATCTGGCCTATTGTGGTCTGTTCCAGCCATTGTCTGTTCATCTCATTGAAAGCTGTCCATTGTTAATGCTCAGACAGCCATATTCAGGCACACTGAGGATTTCTCGTCATTCAACTGGTATCAAGCTATCATTGGGATATTCGTTAAATGTATTCCGTTTTTTTTTACTTCATGAATCGGCTCGCTTGCCGATGTCTTTTTATTTCACAATACAAGCGGACTTCAATACGCAATACATAATCATTTGGCTTCCCTCTAATTCTGCTTTCATGAAAAGTAACTTTTTTTAATTTTTTTATTTATAAGGCAGTGGTGGTAATAAACACAGTTAACATATTTGTGACTTTGCTGATGTGATTGCACTGTGTCATGCGCTAAGAACCTGGCATCCCGAATTCGGTCCCTGCTCACGGTCAACACCAGTGACGAATATCTGAACCAGTCTTGGGCCTCCCCTAGGTCGACTCAGCCTCAAATGGGTACCTAGTGTGATGTGTAACATCGCCACTGGGGAAACAAAGGCAGCCAGGTGTGGCGTTGGCCACCCGCCCTCTCGTGTGCCGTGCAGGCCTTCATAGGTGCTCGCTAATGGCACTTGCCCCAGCAGTCTGTTCAGGCGATGCGGGGGATCTTTGACTTTGTACTGTGTCAATGCAGGCTGTGCACAGGTGTTTGCTGATTCTGCTGCCGGTGCTGGAAGGACCGTACCTGGCCAATGCGAGCCCTGGTAAAGCCAATCCCATGGCGCTCACCAGCAAGGTGCTGCTGCTCACTCTCTCCCACATGGAGATGGAGGACAGACTGTCCCTCCGGCGTGTTTATGCTGAAGTGCTTCCTGCCTACATTGACAGGTGTGTGTGTGGTACGCATGTGCGCCGATCCGATATCACTCTCACACATATAGCATATACCAGCACTGTGTCTCAATTTTGGTAGGATTCGAGCATATTCCCATTGACATCATCAAATCACGATGCATGGGCAGATAGCCCGTAGGTGTCTAATGCATATTTCGTCAATTGTTTCCACTTTCCTCTGTCTTGTGCTAATATGCTCAGTGCCAAATCTTTCTGGCACCGATCTCCTATGTCGTCGTCATCAAGCCATTCTCTATGAGGTCTTCTCTATCCTGTTCCTTCCATTTTTCCGAATAACACACTTTTAATTTTCCTGTTATTGTCCATCTGTCCAAATAGTTGCAGTTTCTTTCTCATCACTGCCTGCATCAGGTCTCCTTCATTTTGCTGGTCATGTCCGATGTGTCTGCAGCTTTTTACACAATGTGCCTTCCACATCGCGTGGGTGATGGGCAAACGTCATCCGTGGGACTCGTTTAAATGTGGGGGGCTCCAGTGGTTCCTAGTCGTGGGTTGCGAGATCCCCCTGGCATAGCACAAATTCATTTCCCTAAGTTTGGTGGCAGGTTGAGGTGTCGATGCAGTACATTCTGTAAAGTGGATTGGTAACATACGTGGAGAAAGTATTAACCCTCCACGGGGTAGCCGACATCATAGTCATTAAACAACCAATAGAAATGAATTACAGGAAATTATGGAAGTCATGATTTAATAAGTCTGCAATGTTGGATTCAAGATGAATGTTGGAACAAGTTTTCTTAATGAAGAGTTTGTTAGAGTCGCAATTTGACAAAATAGCAGAATATCGTAATTGTACTCGACATGCCTCAATTGTAACTTCATAAAATCTTGACTGATTTGCTAAACCTAAACCAATTTTGAAATTGCCCTTTCCAATACGGTCTTGTTCTCCTAAAACGCGGTAGTTGCGTTCCTGAAGAACACCGCGTTATGGTAAATCGCGTTATAATAAAGAATATATAATATAAGGTTAAAGCACAGTCTGCCATAACACACAAGATGTGTACGCAGGCTGAACAAAGACTCAGGCACGTGGGTAGCGTCTAGAAGCATCCAGCAGCATCCCACTGCCTTGTACAATGCTACACCGAGACAGCCGTACGACCGCTTATTCCTACTCGCGTGACGTAGTTCTGTTCACTCAATCGGGTTCTATCCAATTCGCATCCCGCATTATAGAAAATGTGTTCCCTAATACATTAATCACGCTATATCCAATTCTCATTATGAAAATACGTATTTCCGTAGAACAGGCAAGTATTATGGAAACACTGAAGGTGGCACAAGTGAACTCGTGTGTGTGCGCACACCGGTCAGGTTGGGCATTCTCATCGTGCGACACATGAAGCAGCTGCTGGGTGTTGTGGGCGCCTTCCTGGAGGTGAGCGACGGCCCTAAGGAGGAGGCCCGAGCCTACATCCTCCTTGCCCTCAAGAGCCTCATCAGCTGCGCGTGGCCTCGGTAAGTTGCTACAAAGCTAAACATCTCTCGTACATTCTAGACTTGAAGCTTTCGTGACTGCAAGGAATCATATTCTTAGGTGTTTTCGGTAAAGTTTTCGGTAAAGTCACGTACCGAAAACACCTAAGAATATCTCTCGTACAGCCTTAGCAGACTGTTGGGGCAAGTGCCGGCACGGTACATGAGGGGGTGGGTGGCTACCACCACGGCCGACCGCCTTTGTCTCCCCAGTGGCGATGTTCTTATACATCGCACCAGATACTCATTTGAGGCTGAGTCGACCTAGGTCAGGCCCCAGGACTGGTTCAGATAATCGTCACCGGTGTTGGCCGTGAGTGGGAATCGAACTTGCGTCATCAGGTTCGTAGTGCAGCGTGCTAACCGCGGTACTACTGCTCCCCACATATCGCCACAAAGACAAAGATCCCCCATATAGCCTTAACAGACTGTTGGGGCAAGTGCTGTTCGCGAGCATCTGTTAAGGTCGGCACGGCACACGAGGGGGTGGGTGACCAGCACCACACCCAACCACCTTTGTCTCCCCAGTGGCGGTGTTTATTCACATCACCAATAACTCATTTGAGGCTGAGTCGACCTAGGGCATGACCGGTTCTGATAATCGTCACTGGTGTTCGTGGTCGTGAGCAGGAATCGAACTCGAATCGTCGGGTTTGTAGCGCAGCGTTCTAACCACTACATTACTGCTCCCCATAAGTCGCTACACACATACACGTTCATTTCTCGGGTGCTATGATTACCAATTTGCCCTCGACTCCCAATCAATATTTAAACTTTCCATTTTATACTCTATTTGCATATGGGAGCTTTGAAATTTTCACTGCTCAGGAGTGAACTTTAATGTAGTGCTCCCTATAAAATGCAAAAACTAATATCTACTTTTACACAAGTCTAATGTGAGTGATAGATTGCACTTCGCCAGCCACAATGAGGAGACCTCCGTCATCCCCCACTTGTGGAAGAGGTCGCTCGTGTGCAGTCCCAACTCGACCAAGTGCAGCGCATAGCCAGTCATGCGCGTAACACGGAGATTGTTTGGTGGTCCCTCTTTTTTCCCGAACGCCGTTTGTCTAGGATGGCGGCGCGATGCGGTTTTCTGGTGAAGCTGCTACTGCGGTTTGCGTACGACATCTCAGCCGAACGGACGACGGTACACGGCAGCGTGCAGCGCGCGCTGCTCACTGACGCGGCCGATTGCCTCGTCTCACTCGACCGCTGTTGTGGTGGACAGGTGCAGGTAGGGCCCACGAGGCCGCAGGGCCCCAACAGTGTCATGCTAAATGCATATCTGAGGACTGCTTCACATTTAAAATAATGTCCACCTCCCGTACGGTATCCGCACAAACACAACGACACACGGCCATGCTGAGACATATCACGAGGGGCACGTGAATAAGATGATGTGCACGAACTAGATGCATCGCACTGACTCGAGAATTGTGGACTCGGGCGATGGAACAGTAGCCGGATGCAAATGAGCGAATGTGCACGGGGGGACAAACACCGCGGAGATGGAGCAATCGAATTGGTTCATGGGAAGGACTACTTCGGATTTTGGTATTGCAGAATTGAGGAATTGCGGCGATGTTGGAGCATCCTTCATCCAGTAGTGGATAGAGTTGTGGTGATGATAATAATGATGATAGAAGCATAACAAATAAACACCCCCTGATAGTCATATACACTGGAAAAAAAGTGCTGTTAGGATACACTTATTAAGCCAGGTACAGTGCACAAGCAGGTGGTGTGGACAGTACCATACCCAGCCACCTTTGTCTCTCCAGTGGTGACATTACACACCACTTCCAGGTACTCGCGTAAAGCTAAGTCATCCTAAGAGAGACCCAGAACTGGTTCAGATGTCACTTGCCACTGATATAATTTCGAGCCACGAATTGAACTCGGATGACTTGGCACATTTCAGAGCCCTACCCACTCCATCACCATTTCCCTCACCGTATAGCCTTAACAGACTGTTGGTGCAAGTGCTGTTAGCAAGCACCTACGAAGACCAGCATGACACACATCTTTGCATCCACACACATTCACACACACACTGCAGCAGATGAATCGGCATCTTCAAAAGCAGTAGAATCTGCATATTATTATTAATACTATCGTCAGCAGCAAAGTGTTGGCAGTGTTTGTGGGGAGACTTACTGGCCTCTATCATGGGAATGTGTAATTTCCACCGCTGACTCCAATGTACTTGTTTTGTTTAGGCTTTGCTGAGGGATGTAAAGAAGGCTTCTGACAACCCTGGTGTCCTGCACTGCGTTACAACGGTGTTTAGCGAGTGAACGTGTGCAGAGTGCTGCTGTTATTACAAGGTCATACCGACAGTGATATTAATATATCAATAGCCTTCAGGCACTATTGGAAAATGTGTGTGCTGATCAGATCGTACTCTATTGAGGCGAACGCAGAGATGACAAGGCCGATACATTCCATATCACCATGGAGCCAAGCTAAATTTTATTGTGTTTCTCCTAATAATGTCAAGCTGCTATCATGATATTTTTTTGTTTTTGTGCTAAATTAGCATTACAATAAACATATTTTGTAAAAAGTTAATGATTATATGCATCCCTTTTTATATCACATTTGTTTTTACAAAATTAAGTGAGACAATGTCCTAGCAGCACATGGCTTACCATTTAACACTGGGGTTTTTTAATTACTGCCGAGTATTGGGAATCCATTTGATAAACTTGCCTTGTATAGGGTAAACTCCTGAATAGCAACAGATCTATATACAGTCTGCTCGATAACTCGTGTCTTGGCCTCGCTGTGCGCTGCATTGCACCACTATCTGAGTAGGTAACCTCGCATTCAATAAACCTTCAGAGCCAGGGTGAACATCCGAATCCAATGTATTTAATGATTAGAACGAGGTAAAACTGATGGGAAAACACAGCACAAAATACAGCATCTGTTAATACTTGTGTAGTGACATTTCCTGTCACTATACTGTAGCGCCAGCCCCTAATTCGGGAGTGCTGCTGAGTGCTGGGAACCTCCCTAGGAGGCTGAGGGACACGAGACCGGGAGCCGTGAGCCCCTGTCTTGATACAGCAGGGGCATGGCCGAGGCCGTGGCAAAGCCACGGCCAAGGAAATAAAGGGAGAGCCCCGACACGGATCAGGGCTCGTTTGTGGGGATCGTCCTGGAACTCTTCGCTCTTCGTTCGTCGGTTGAACCTTAGCTGGGAATCATGGGACAGACAGCATTGTGTGCTGGCTGGCCGTTCGCTAGGGTTAACTCGCACGCACATAGCGACAGTATAGCTACACCTAGCTAAAGAACCAAAGTGTTACCGTAGGTTGTGTAATAAAAGTCTTGCCTCCCAGTTAGTGTGTGCGCCTCAATGTATCACACACTACACTTGCAATATCAATACAATCAATGAACACTGCAGTATCATAACATTGTCTTAGATAACATGAAACTCAACAATAGGTCCTGGATGGAGCAGGCACCTCCATCAGCACTGAATAGCTATACAACAAGAGAATAAGCTACTGTATTAAATAAGGTCACTTTGTGTAATCAGCATACTGCAGCCTAAATGTACAGCGCTGCACATAACACTGAACTGTGGATGAGATACTTTTTCATCCTTGCTCTGAAGAACGCATTAAAGTTACATGGGCACAAGTCTGGCTCGACTTGTCCAACTATAAATAACATTCACAAGTGGCAGGCTTCATTGTTAACTAAGCCTCATCATAATTTAACGGCATTATAAAGGCATTTACAGCATTATTACGGCAATCCTAACATAACAGCATTCCCAGTATTATAAGAACATAAATGTTTTAATAACGCAACTTGAATATAATGCAATTAATGTATTAGGGAACACTTTTTTTATAACGCGAAAGCATATTGGATATAATGCTATTGAGCGAATGGAACTTTCGCATGAGTAAGAATAAGCGGTCGTACAGCTACCTCGGCGTAGTATCACACAAGGCGGGATGCTGCTGGATGCTTCTAGATGCTACCCACGTGCCTCAGTCTTTGGTCAGCCTGCATACGCATCTCACGTGTTACCACGGACTGTGCTTTACCCTATATTATTTCTTATAACGCGATTTTCCATCATGCTGTATTCATCGGGAACGCAACTACTAGCGCATTATAGGAGAACAGACTTAACATTTAACTTGCATTGAATCGTCTTTATTAGTTATCATGACCCCCTATGTTGCAGACAGATTGACAGGGCTATGCATGAACACTCAACCTTATTTGGAAAGCGTGGAAAAAAACTACATGCCAAATGTGGAACGTACAATCCAATATCCAGAAAAGTCACACTGAGTTCTAGGACTAATTTTCAGGAGCATCATGCATTTAAAAAAAGTTTTTTCAGCCAATTAATGATGATTTCGTACATGTGGCAGGAAACTCGAGCAACTATGAAAAAAAATCCACATGCGCGAGGGAGCAACACTATCCCCGTACAGATGGAAACAAGTGGCGATCAGCCCGTTTGCTGTACTGCCTTCTGGAAAGCCAGGATATGGCACCACCTCGACGCCCACGCAAAGAGAGTGTGGGGGACGACGTCCACCTCCCTGCTCCCCGTGAGCGGGCGGGACGTAACGTCCACCCCCTCCACTCCGCCCTCTCCTCTTCGGCCGCCTCTCGCCGGGCCCCCGCCGATGGGGTGATCAGCCCCCCCCCCCCCCCCCCCCGTGCCAACGCCCTCTCTCGGCTGGCTCACCACCGCCCGGGGTTATCTCCCCCACGTACCCCACCACACAAACGAATACGGAGGCGTGCACGTGCGTGCCCCTGCAGGCGCGTGTTTCCCTCACAAAGCTGGCGCTGACCAAAAGGGACGGCGGCGGTATGAATAAGCACGCGCCCCTCCGGGTGGTTAAGCCCTAATCCACGTGGCCGCAATGCTAATGCTAATGTAAACTGAAAAGAAACGGCGGCTGTATGAACATCTAAAGGTGCGTGCTTCCCCAACGGCCAGCGCTACGGCCCCCGGAGGACCCGGCAGCGTAATGCAAACGCGGTGTAAACTCGCTGCGTAAAGCGCGCTATGTAAACACGCACGCGATCGCTCACCACCGCCGAGGTTATCCCACACACGCCGAGCGCTAATCAACATAAACGGTGGCGGTATGAATGTGCACATCTACCCCCCCCATGGGGCATGCCTTACCGTTATCGCTATTTCTACTGTGTAAACGCGCCGGGCACCCAGTCTCTCCATGCAGACACGCCACGCACAGATCACAGACGCACGCCGAGGTTCTGCCCACACACACAGACATCACACCACACCGATATTCTGTACCAGAGTCTATTAATGGCTCCAATACGCATTACCCGGAGGATGAATATATCGCGTTGAGAGCCTAGCGTAACTGCCTATGAACCCAGCTACTCAAACGTCATAACACGTACCTTGAAACTGGACTCGTGGCGTCCCACGGACGCTGAGATAGTCGGAGGGAGGAGGACGAGAGAAGACTTGCCCAATCACTGTCTCGCCGCAGCACTCGCTGGCATCACGCGGATGCTGTGAGCGGCTTGAAGAGGCAGGACGGCAGGCAGGGAGTCGGTCTGGACGGCCCGGAGGTTGTAGACAACTGCTCCAATCGTCCCGGGGCTCCCACCTTTATACTCTACTACTGATGCCCTGCCCTCACCTGGAGCGTCCGTTATGCCTCCACCCATCGTTTTCTTAGTTTGTGCCTTGGGTTTTTTTGCTCTTTTCGCCTCTTACCTGTTGTTCTCCCGTGCCCAGTAGTTTGAGCCTTCAGTTTTGCTCTTTACGCCTAATATTCCACCCTCCGTCATCCCCCAATGTGAGTAACTCATTGCGGTTGGCCCAGGGAACCTTTTCTTTTTGCTCCCATACAATTTGAAGCCAATTTAGGGGCACCGCAATGTAACCTGTCCTGTGGGGGTCGGCCAATCTCCTGGCACCGGGAAACCGTGGGACTCTCCCCCTAGGGCCTCTTCGGATTAAAACCCGATGTGCCAGGCAACCCCCTGCAGGACACTATGTGGGTGCGCTGCGGTGTGTGTTTAGTGCGGGGGCCGGGAGGGAGTCGGGGCGCTTGTGGGGTTGCTCCGCGGTCGTGGCACCACAAGAGTTTCACAACATCTGTGCGGTGATCCACACCAACCCTCGCTGCCTCCCACAGCGTTGGTTTACAGGCCACGTGCAGAGCCACCCGTCCACCGCCTGTCGGTGCAGTACTGTGCTAGACCGCCATGGTGTTACTGTGCTAGAAAGCCATGGTGTTTCTGGCAGCATGGAGATGCAAGCAACAAGGTGGCGATGCTTTGCACGCTATTTAATGTTGAGTTTTGGAAGTGTGATTTTCAAAATTTCCCTTTTTTTTGTTTATACAAGGGCCAGACAATAAAAAGAGGAGTGAACATGGGACCATACACAAGAACCAATACCAATGCCCGCCATTCGCCTCTAAGTGACAGTGACGTCACCACGGCGCGTGTGCCAGGTCAGGTGCACTATGAGGCCACGTGAAGTGTCAAAGGCTCGCTAGCAGGAAGTCACCAGACAAGTCCAGGTGCCATGGGTGACTGAGATGCAAGGCCGATGCATTAACTGCACCACCTACAAACAAGTCGGGTATTTTTAATTAAACGGGCAATATCGGCAAGACAACACGACACAGTACAGAAGAGACAAAGTACAAAAGTGCAGAAGATGAAGACGGTAAGACAACAAATGGGAAATCGGTACAGAGGAGATAGTTGATACAAACAAGACAAGCATCGCCGATTCTTGAGTAGAAACGTCACCTGACACAATGGCATTGATTCGTGGAGAGAGATGGGAGAAGGCTGGCAACTTGGAGATGGCATTAAGAATGTGCATGAAGAGCAACAGATCATTTACATGGCCTGGGATGGCTACGCTTGAGCCCAGTTTACGCGGTATTGGGCAAATATCAATCTGACGACATCCCACATCAATACAGCCGAAACTGCCATTTATTACTCAATTCTTGCATACGGCAACATGCTCAGGAGCTAAACGTCAATGTTGGAGGTCTGATAACCACGACAATAGGGCTTCAGGAGGGAGTTTGTCTAGTTTTGCCACTCAGTTGGACAGCAGGCTATAGTAGTTTACAAAAATGATTTGTAATGATTTACCCTGATGCTGCTGATGCTGCTGCTGCCTCTAGACATATAAATGCCAGTGTTTGCTCACTGTGATTATGGAGCGGGGGACTTTGTCCTCGAAGGCAGGTAACCATTACACGACTGAAGGTTGCGCTTGCCAGAGAAAAACACAAGCGCGCTCGACACGTTGAGGCATCGAGGCATTGAGGGTGACATGAGGCTCCAGGACGCGCTGCTGGAGCTGCCCCTATGGTACTATTGGGTCTTCGTGTTCCTCCCGGTGTTTCTCCTGCTCGTCTTGCTCATCGCTGTGTTGGATGGAAAGCTGAAGCGAGGTAAGTCATAACGCAGCCGTTTCAATACGGGCAAAAAAACATGTTTTTGTCTGTTTGTTTGTGTTTCTCCCTTGTGATGGGACTTTGTAGGATGAACGTTGAGATTTATAAGGGCACGGGGTGACCAATAAGGTCTATAATAAGGTAGGCACTGATAAGGGATTGACAGGTATGTGATAGGGCGCTTTCGTGGTGAGCAAAGTATTAATGTAGGGGATGTTAATTGGAGATGGTCATTCGAGTAGGCGTATTCCTCAAGCTTTCATTGGCTATGTTTTCTATATACTCAATACAGTCTTAAATACAATTTAACAAGCACACATATTAACAATAACATACTGTATGCACGATGTATAACAATACATTGGTATAATATTCACTTTAGCTCTAAGTTAAGAATTTTGGTGTCAATATTGGTTCAGAATAACAGTTGAAAGTTCGGCAAATCATATTTTGAGGGTTTTATTTGTATTATTCCCATAGTTTTGCTCGATCGATGCGTTGCTTACACACTCGTGTTGCCGAAAGTTTGATCCCTGCTTCTGTAAAATTTAGGACCAAACTACCCACACTGCACGGTTTTATAGGGTTCCTAATACTTCTGTGAGGAAGCCACAGTTTATATTAGGGATTGGTAACCAAAACAACAACAAGAGCCATGTTTTTTTTTTCGAATATTTCAAGAGACGCAATGCACTGTGGGGTAAATACGAGACGATGGTCCTCAATAAATAATGTCACGAAGTGGCCCTTAATGAGCCCCATGCGGCTCCGGAGCCGCAGGTTGCTAACCCCTTCCCCATGGTAAACTGGACTTCCATGGTGGACTGGGTTTCCATGGTAAACTGGACTCCCATGGTAAACTGGACTCCCATGGTGAACTGGACTC